TTCGCAAAAAACTTTGTCTAAGACCAATTTGCTTTCCGCGTGCCGAACTTTGGCTCGGTAAAATGCGCAACCAACGGAAAGAACTTCTTCTTCGGACTTCCGTGTTCGCTTCTCTGCCAGCCTCATCCACTCTGAAAACCAACCTGCATCGATTCGGTAGACTCCGTAAATGTCGATGTGCGTCTGTGCCAGTAGTGCATCGCATGCTTTCTGGTGAACCTGCCAGTATCGTTTCATCCACGGAGTCTCGCTGTGCTCCTGCGGCATAGTCGCTGGAGTGCGCGGTTGCGTGAATCCGCCGACGCGCAAATGCTGTGATGTCAAACTCCACTCCGTAGCACGCAGATCCGTTTCTGAAAATTCCTTGAAGACGTCCTGGATTGCAGCTTTCAGTGGCTCCTGCGGCACGCGGCCAGAGTAATGATACCAGGCTTCGGAAGCCAGCGCGCGACCCACCGCATCATCCCCACCGCGTTGCAGCGCGGCGAGCTCCGCACGCAAGTACGGCACCCAAGCATGTACTGTACGAAACGTAATATCTGCCAGGGGACTGCTCTGGCTCTGCGCGGCAACTGCACTGGTGCCCGCAAGGAGACTGCGCAGCTTGTCGTGGAACTTCACAACCAGAAGTGCAGCTTCGTTTCGCGATGCCTTCTGAAAAACTCCCAAAGTAGAACTGTTCACTGACAAGAGGCCAGAGACGACCTCCTGGAGGTCCGACGCAGGTAATTCGAGAAATTCCACGACCCGAAAGTGTGCCAGAAACGCCGGCGATTGCTTTTCCCGCTTGCCCTTGTATTTTCCCGAGTTTGGATTCTGCGTAGCGAACAAACGAAAATCTGGGTGCATTCGCAGGTGTTGGGCGAAATCGGACTTGGAGCTGCTAGGATCCCGAAGAGTGATATTCTTCTGATCAAGAGCGCTTTCCAACGTGTGCAAAATTTCAGCCGGTGCCAGATTCAGTTCGTCCAACATCAGCCACTTTCCCTCCGTGAACGCACAGACGAACGGGCCATGAATGAATTCCATCGCGCCACTCCGGCCTAACACGAGCTTTCCGAAGAAGTCATCGTACTCAATAGACCCCGACATGTTCATTCGAACCAGGTCCTTACCCCCTACGCGGGCCGCTTCTTGCACCGTCGCAGTTTTCGCGACCCCGGTAGCCCCCTGCAAGAGAAGTGGAGCGGAATCACGGGCAGCTTGCTGGACGATCTTCACGTTGCGCATGGTCGCCGGAGTTTGCACAAAGTGGTCCGATTTGCTCGCAGACACGTCTTTTCCACAGACCTCAGGCTTCAAGACAGCACGCGGGTCGCCGGCGTTCTTGCGCAGAAGGTTGCTTACTTCCACGAAGTGCTCGCGTAGAGACGGAATCGATACCGCCTCCCCCCGCTGACGAGACCGCACCTCGTCGAGGTAGAAGGAGTCATTGGCTAGTAGTACATTGCTGCTCGGAAGCGACGCCCGCGAATCGCTTTTTCCAGACACGCTTTCCGCGAGAATTTTTAGTTGCTCGAGTTCTTCTTCGCTGAAGTCGTACAAGAACGCCATGATGCGAATCGCGCGAAACTTGGTTCCGCGAAACCATTGATGAACCTCAGCCTCTTCCGGATTTGGAAGCATCATTTCTATCCAGGTTGTGTCCAGACACCTGCACACATTTTTCAGGTTGGACCGGGAAGACTCGCCCCGCACAGATTCGATTTCGTTGCACACCATATCTAGCACAAGCCGTGCCGGTATTTCGTCGAGCGCCAAACACCTTGTCAAAAAATCTCGTGCAGGTCCATCCCTCGTTTCTGCATCGTCCACGGCATTGTCGGAAGTGTATAGGTACGCCAGCTGAAAAAGCAGCGGCAGGTAATCCACAGCTGTTTGTTCGTCCAAGCTTTCTTTGTGAGTGAAAAAAGACTTCTCTACTAGGCGTGACCGCATGCTTTGCATGGCTTCTTCTTTCTGCAGCTCCATGTCTAAGTCTTCGTCAGAAGTGGAGAAGGCATCGCGTCTGCTCAAAGAATGCAGTATCAGGGTTGCAGCGCGGAATAGTATGAAGGACTGCTGACTCGGTTGTACAGCCAGCAACTTCGAAACAAAGTCGAAAAGCATTTTCTCAGAAACTTTTCCGGCATCCTGCCATTCGCACTTGCTCCAAAAATCGACTGGGAGTGCGGTGATGAAACGTGACACCACCTCTAGGACATCCTCGCACGGCGAGTCCTCCGTTGCGCACTTGAGCAAGAATTCGAGAATTCTGGGGTTTTGCTTGTGGTGGCAACCCCATCCCTTCAGCGCCTCAGGGCGCTTGGACACGACCTGAATAAGGTGCCACAATTCGCGATTCTTGCTTTCGGTCTTCTGCCCCACGTCGCACAGCAGAGTGAGAATGTCCAAATCGTAGACCAAAAAGAAGGTCAGAAACTTTTCCCAGCAGAGCGACAGCGGATCAGATAGCACAGAATTTTCATCGCCTGACTGCTCGCGTCCACCCGATACACCAACGGCGCCTGTTGGTTGTGGCTTCGTGGAGATCAAGAAGCCACGCAGCTTGTCCACGCAGGTCCTCAGCTTCCCCTGGAGCAGCTCCCGCTGCTCGCTGGCCAAGTCGTGTCCACTCGGCTGTCCCCCTGCGGCGCCGAGTTGCTCGCGCGAGTCTGCCGACCAAGTCGCGACAAACGCAAGCAATTTGCGAAGCGCTGTCTTGACCACGTCTCCTTCCTGCGTCCAGAAAGTTTTCTCTGACCCCTTCGACAAAGCTGCTGCATGCAAACAATGGAGGCAAAGAAACAGGATTAGGAGCGATCCAGAGGCTTCCGTGGGCGAAGTTTCCGCTGTGTCTTCCATCCGCCCACCCTGTACAGATTTATTTTTATGTTAATGCATGCAAAGCGCCGATGTTTTTTTTCAACTTTACCGCGGCTCCTTGAATGCCAACTACATTTCACAATCAAACTCAAGGCCTAGAAGAAAGATTGCGACCTTTACCTGCTGCTGCACCAACTCGATGACGAGATCGAAACCCTGCTTGACGCTTTCCTTGCAGCGCACCACGTCTGCCATTAGGTCCAGCAGCACCGCGCAGGTCGCCGCACCCAATGTCGAAGATGTTAACACCTGACGTTGAATTTCTAGGAGGCATTCGTCGCTGAGCAACGAATGCTTCTTGTGAACCATCTGCAAGAGCTGGGCCAAGCTTTGATCAGTGTTCGCCTCGTTCGATTTCTTGCACACGGCTTGCACGAGGGCATGCAGCATCTGGGGATTCTTCTCATCTGCGGCGATGGGGAGCGAGAGCTGCGACGTTTGATGGTGCTGAAGTAAACTGGGCAAGTAGTACTCTGCTAAATTCAGAAGAAGACGCTCCCGTGCCTCGGATTCGGTTGACACCCGGCCGTCCTGCAGCACTGGAACGACCACATGATCGTCAAAAATCAAAGCAGCCCCAAACACTCGCTTGTCCTGCAACTGAGTGTCGCGAAGCCGGTGCGACCCGGCTATCGCCTCTTGCAACCAGTCGGAGTCCTCGCGTGAATTGCTTGAATTGGCGAGGACCTTTTCGCGAAATATTTTGGCATCCTCATCCTTTGTGCTGTCTCTAGCCTTCACTCTATCAAGCTTACTTGTGGTGAGAACCGCCCGAAACAATCGCTCCGCTGCCGCCCATTCGAGTTTGTCTGGACCGTACGAGCCGTCCTTGTCCTCTTCTGACGTTGTGGCACAGGTCAACTGCAGCAGCTCGAGAATCGCAACCACTTCGGAAGGTTGTCTGGCACGCTGGTCCTTGGTGCCCTTTCTGCCCTCCCGCGCGATAGGGAGCAGCTGGACCAGCTGACTTCGAAAGCGCGCAACGCGACCTAGTCGAAGCGCCGTCTGTGCCTTGGCGTCACCGCTTCCATATCCATGGTAGAACCAATGCAAAAAAAGGCAGTAATCCCAGGCAACTCCGCTCGATCCCACGCTGGCAAAGACTTCCTTCGCGAGCTCGAGCGAGAAGACCTTGCGGAAAATATGCTTCTCGTCTTTGCTGGTCAACTCCGCCCTAGCAATCGCTCTACCTCCGACAAACGCAGAAACCTCCTGGCTAAACCTTTTTTCTCTATCAAGGCTTTTCTCCTGCTTCCATTCCACCAGAGACTTTTCAAGTGTCTCGATCGTGCAGCTTGAGCGGGCCATTTTCAAAGCACCGCCTCGGTTCTTTCACCGCTCAATACCAGCAGTCCGCTTCTGGTTCCATTGTGTAATCAAAACAAAAATCGAGTACTGTATAGAGTCTTGTCAAAATGTACCGGTAAAAATTCATAAATCAACAAAAACCTTGCCGAATCCAATAAATCGCATCTTCGAGTGCGCAGGCAGTGCACGCTGATGTCAGCACTCAGAATGCGTGCACAGCCTGCCTAGGTTTGATTCCTACTGGTGAAACAAATTGTATACTAAGCAGCCTTGCAGGTCGCCAATCTCGCCATCGTGTTCGTTGTAAAAACTAAAACTATTTCTGCAGAAGAGGGAAAGAAAATGAAATTTGCAGGAAGAAATAACAACCCGAGTAATGGAAAATGATACCGTCTAAGTAAAGCAAACGATGAAAAAACCGCACAAAGCCTGATCTTTTTTTAGAGAGATGCTTCACAGATATCACGAATGGATCAATAGATCAGGAGCCGTCTTTTGACCAATCTGCGATCGCAGCAGTCTCGTCTACCGGAATCCAGTCTGCCGCCAGCAATACGGCTTTCACGTTTCATGAATATATGCTTTTCGTTCTTTATTTGATTACGACTTGCTTCTCTCTTGCAGGTCTATCTCCCAACTCAACAAGTGCGGCCTCCAGTAGTCGTGACATGACTGCGGAATCTCGTCCAGATCAGTGTGGTCTAGACATCACACTCGCTTTCCAGCTGACTTCCACCTTCAGCGGATCCTGATTGTTGTCGAACGCACCAAACGTAGCACGGAGTGGCACGTCGGAGTAGAGAAGCCTCTATCAGCATAGAGTGGCACGTCGGAGTAGAGACGCCTCTATCAGAAAACAACGCTGCATTGATAACTTCTCTCTGCGAATGGGGAACGAACATTTGTGTGCTCCCCCGTTGTTCGGGGATAGATACTATATTTGGGCGGGGATAGGTAGCATCATGCTCCCCCGTTGTCCGGTGGGTAACAAGGAAATCGAAATACAGGGTAGGCTAAATAGCTTCCCTTGGTAATGGGAATCGAAACATGATGCAAGATAAATTTCCGAAATCAAAGAAGTATGACTATATTGTAAAGTAGAAATCCAAAACCCCTGCAAAACCGTGCAGAAGTCCTAGAGACTTTCTAACATGAAAGCGTTTTGCTATTACTAGCAAAAAATTTTTGGTTTCTAGAACTACAGCCAGAAAGGTTTCAATTCCTTCACTATGGCTTTTTTACCTCTAGCGAGGGCTACATACCTGCTTAGCACTTCGCTATTTCTTTCACAAATCCTTTTCAGCCGGCAGTACGCCGCTACTTCTTTCCGCCCTTGTTAATCGGGTAGAAACCTGGTGGTGGGCCCTTTCCGTTCGGATCACCATCGAACCAAAAGAAGCCGGGTGGGACAGCTTTGCCGCCTGGATCGCCCTTTTTCTGTGGGAGACCTTTTCCGCTGGGATCACCCTTATTCATCGGCGGGAGGCCTTTTTTTCCGCTGGGATCATCCTTATTCATCGGCGGGAGGCCTTTCAGATCACCCTTGTCCATCGGCGGTAGGCCGCCTTTCAGATCACCCTTGTTCATCGGCGGAAGGCCTTTGCCGCTAGGATCACCCTTGTCCATCGGTGGGAGGCCTTTTCCTTTTCCGCTCGGGTCCCCTTTCATCTGTGGATCGAAGCCTGGGGGCATTCCTTTCCCGCCTGGACCGCCTTTCACCGGAAACATCCCGGGTGGTGAGGGTCCTCCTTTTCCGCCACCAGGAAAACCGCCCTTCATCGGATCGAATCCCACCGCACCTCCCGGCGGCAGTCCCTTTCCGCCGAAGCCCGGAGGACCCCCCGCGCCCTTGTGCGACGGATCCAACCCCCCGTTCGCGGCCCCTTCGGCCGCCTGGTCGTGCAGCTCCTGCTCCTTCGCGAACTTCAGGAACACCTGCTCCAGCGTCGGCTCGCCCACCCCAAAGTCCTCGATGATTTTCAGCGGGTCCTGCACGCACCACTTGAACACCGAGGACAGGCGCAGCGACGATTTATTACCCTGCCCGCCCTTCGCCGCAGCACCCGCGCGGTCCACGTGCACGCCCAACCCCAGACACAGCCGCACGCGGGCAGAGGAGATCGGGGTCTTTTCCAGTACGTGGATCTCCCCCCGGGGAATTCCGATGTTGTAGGACATCAGGGAATCCACCAAAAACATCTCCACCGTCTCCACGGAAAGCTCGTCCTTTCCCGCCACGGGCGACGCGATCTTCTCGTCGACAGACCGCCGAAACTGCTGCGAAAACCGCTGCTGCGGCATCGCGGCCGTGTTGTCGAGGATGGTGGACTTACTCTTCTTCTTCTTAATAGGCCCAGCTGCATTTTTAGTACTGCGTGGACTCCCCTCGCCCTCCGGGCCGCGCTGGAGTTGTCCCTTCTCGGAAAGAATATTCGCGCCTGCGAGGACTACGTCTCCGGAAAGACCACCGTCCTCCATTTGCAGAAACTCGTCCTCTGTAAAGTCCGTATCCGAGACTTCGCCCTCCGGCCGCGCCTGCTTGCCTCCGTCCCCACCGGCGATTGCACGCTGCGCGTCGGCCAGCGAGGCGCGCGGCGCCACGCACTCCTGCGTGAGCACGTGGCTGCGGGACTTCCGGGTCTGCTTGCCCAGGTTCAGCACCACCTCCAGGTGGTAGCCGTTGCCGTACACCTGCTTCAACCGCAGCGAGTCCCCCAGGCACTTGAGCCGGCCCGCGACCAAAATGCCGATGCGGTCCGCGGTAGCGTCGATCTCGCTCATGGAGTGGGAGATGGTCACGATGGTCTGTCCGGTCGGGCGGTTGATCAGCTTGTCCCACAGCGTGCGCTGCGCGCTGATGTCCACGCCCGCCGACATCTCATCCAGAAACACGATCGGGGGGTCCGTGATCATGGTCAGCGCGACCGACAACTTTCGCTTCATGCCGCCGCTGTACTCCTTGGTCGGGCGGTCCGCGTCTTTCTCCGACAGGCCCACCTCCCGCAGGAACCGCGAGATCCGCTCCTCCCCTGCGTCGCTTCTCTGCCGAGCGCGCGCGGCTCCACCCGCTTCCACGTCCAAGGGCGACGGCCTATTGAGCGGTGCACCGCCTGGCGGTCCTGCCTCAACTACGTGGTCCGCCGTCTCCTCCGCGTAGAGCCCGGCGACCTGCGCGTAGATGCGAAGGTGGAGGCGGCCCGACACGTCGGGCCAAAGTTTGTCGAACTGCGGCGCCAGCCCCATGTGCTGCCGCGCGAGCTCGAAGCCGTCGTCCGCCGTGTTCTTGCCCAACCAGTGGATGCTGCCCAGGTTCGGCGGGCCGGTCTCGTCGTTCCCGCTCATCATGTTGAACAACGTCGTTTTCCCCGCGCCGTTCGGCCCGAGGAGGCCAAAACACTCGCCGGGCTGGATCCCCAGCGTGACGCCCTTGCTGGCCCAGTGCGGCTTTCCGTCGGGGTTCACGAACTTCTTGTACACACCCTGTACGTCCACGGCGTCCCGGTCCCGCGGCCACCGCGCCTCCTCGGCCGCCACATCGGCGTCCTGCAGCGGCTCCGGCCGCGGCAGCTCCTCCCTTGCGGCGCCCGCCGCCGTTACGCGCCGGTGCGCCAGGCACTTCTCGAGGAGGAAGAACAGCAGGACCCAGAAGGAGAGCACGTACACCGGCAGCCACACGCCCCCGAAGGCGGCCGAGCCGGGGGACCACACAGCGCTGCATTTTCCTCCGACTCCGGCACCCCACATCACCGCCAGCGGGCTGCCCTCCGGGACCGACCCCACGAAATAGTACGCGGCTGTGCCAAAGTGCTGCACGCTCTCTTCGGTGCCGGAAGTCGTAGAAGTTGTCTCGCCCGACGACGACAACTGGTCTCCCTGCTCCGGCTCTGCTCCCCCGCCGACCTCGGCCGACGATGCCGTATCTTCATCCGGGTTGAGGGTCTTGAAAGTCACGACCCCGGAGGGGGGTGGCGCTTCATGATAATCCACAACTGCTTCCTTTGAGTTTGCAGTTGCGTTAGTTGTTGCACTGTCTGTGAGCAGTCCCCGATCGGCGTTTTGGGCGCCATGGCCACGTTGGAGAGTTTGCACGAACGACGTTGGGCTGGTCTCCAGGAATGAGGAGAACCCACACGTGTCGTAGAGTTGCTTCATAAATTCTTGAGCCGGAGTTGTACTCTCTACGTCCTGATTAGTAACTGCTGCCCAGGCACTCTCCACAAAACCGGGGCCCTCCGACTCCGCCGACATCTGGTCCCAGTTCCGCGAGAAATACATTGTCAGGCATTGCGTACTCGGAGAGCCGGATCCGGCGTGGCTCGCGAGAGGCGCGAGGTGCAACGCGGTTCGCAGTTGCAACAAAATGCGGAACGAGTTTTCCAGTGCGAGATGCGGAAACGCAAACGATGCCAGCCGGCCGAACCCCTTCAGAGCCGGCGACGACGGCAGGTCCTGGGATCCTTCCTGCAAGTCCCAGAAAGCCTCAAGGCAGGATGGTGGGTGTTCCTTCAAGGTTGACTTTGCGGGATCCAGAGCTTCAAACCGATGCGGCGTGACGCCCGCCTCCCACCCTTCCAGCACAATCAACATTGCGAAGGCCAGACACACCACGCCGGTGTGCATCCTTGACCCCATGAACAGCCCCAGCGTGACCGGGACCAGCACCGAAAGCAGAAGCCCGGGTAGCCACACGAGGAAAACAAAGGCAACCGAGAACCCTCCGCTCGCGAACCACCAGGAGCCGCCGGCAAAGAGGAAGGCGAGCAGAAAAAGAATCCAGTAGGGCAGGTACGGGAAGAGCAGGTAGGCAGAGATGGACCCGAAGTGGTACGCACCGCGCTGACATCCGTGATGCGTCAGATGCTGCAGGATTCCCTCGTCGCGCTCCTTCTGGTACTGCAAGAACGACCGTGACTGCAAGGGCCCGAACGCCTGCGCGATGAGAAAGAAGAAAAAAAGACTCCCGGGCCCGGGAGTCGAACCCGAGAAAATCAGTTTCGTTAGCCCGTCCTGCCCGAGGCTCAGCGAGCCCCCGTCCTGTGCATATGGATCCGACTCAGTGACCTTGAAGTGGAAGGCGAAAAACCAGAGGGTGGCGAGCACGAGGAGCGGGAAGACGTGGGACCCGTAGCTCGGAAGCGTTTCCGCGAGGAAGCGGAACTTGAAGACGCTGCTCGCCTGGTTGCCAAAGGTAAGGACCCGCGCACGCAAGGGCTGACGACTCAGTGCGCGGTCTCGCTCCTGCTGGGCCCGCTTGGCTGCGGGGTCCAACGCCGAGTCCGCCGCGTGCTCCTCGTCCTCTGCCTGTTCCCCAACAATCTGAAACACCTCCTCCATCGTCGTCTGCTCCACGGTAACCGACAACGCGGGGAACTGCGCCTCCAGGGCGTCCAACAGTGCTGGAATGCGCACCACCGCAGCCCACGGCACCAGGTAGGCCCGGAAGTAGGCGCTGACGCGGCTGGCCTTCACCTGCACGTCCTCCGGTCGCGCCGTCGGGGCCGCAAACACAACGGCCGCGACGGCCCGCCGCACGTCCTGCTCCAGAATGCGCTGCGCCTCCTGCTCGGACACCGCGCCCTTGGTCACGCTGGCTTGGACCCAGAAGCCCAGGCCAAACTGGTGCTTCAGCTCCACGCTGCTACCGAGCGCGCGCACCCGCCCAGCCGCCAGAATCACCTTCCGCTCGGCCAGCAAGTCCGCCTCCTCGAGGTAGTGCGTCGAGAAAACCACCGTCTTCCGCTCCTCGGATACCAGCTTCTTGAGCAACAGCCAGAAGTCGCGGCGCGTCTGCGGATCCATCCCGCTGGTCGGTTCGTCCATCAAAATCAGCGGCACCTCCTTGCCCAGCAGGGAGCACAAAACCCACATGCGCCGCTTCTGGCCCCCCGACAGCTTCTCGCACAGCGTGTCGAGCTTCTCGTAGATGCCCAGCTCCCAGGCGTAGCGGTTCAAGCTTTCCGCGATTTCGGCCTCCGGGATGCCGCGCAGGTGCGCAAAATAGACGATGTGCTGCCGACAGGTGAAAGCGTCCCACATCGCATTGTGCTGGGGACACAGCGTCACCTTGTGGCGAGCCGCCTCGGGCTGGTCCGCGACGCTGACCCCGTCGATGAAGATGTTGCCGCTCGTGCGCTGCAGCAACCCGGTGATTTGCCCCACCAGGGTCGTCTTCCCCGCCCCGTTGTGGCCGAGCAGACAGAAAATTTCGCCGCGATGCACGCTGAAGCTCACGTGGTTGTTCGCGAGCTTCCCGCCGAAACTCTTCGTGAGGTCGTCAATCCGGAGCACGTCGTCCGCGCCGACCCCTCCGGGAAAAGCTTGGTTGTTCTGCGGCAGGAGCGGCTGCTGCTGGTGCGCAAGAACAACTCCCGCCGGCGTGTTCGCCGCCCCCGCATTCGTCACCGCCGTGTCTCCTTGCTCCGCCTGGTCCTTGCACCAGAGGCGGTACCGCAGAACCCCATACCAGAACAGGGCGTTCAGTAGGAGCGTCAAGTGGTCACAGATCACGAACAGCACGTACGCGCCATTGTTGGCCCCGAGGTCCGCGGCCCCGGCATTGTCGGCGTACTGCTGAATCAGTTCGGGCCGCTCAAAGGACACCACCTTGCTCCCCTCCGCCCCGGCTCCCAAACGCGTCGAAATCCAGATCGGGCTCTCATCCGGACCAATCAGCGCATCTACGGGCGGGTGCGGATTGCTGGGGTCCCGCGCGCAGTAGTAAAGCGAGTGCGGCATCAAAAACGAATTCCAAAACGGCCGCCCCTGGGGAAGCTGCCAGTTCAGCAACCCGCTGCCCTCGTCGGCAACCGCTTTGGCTGCCGCGGCCGACGCTGGCGTTTCATGTTGTAACTGGCTGCTCCAACCTGGCGACGTCCCCCGGTGCCGCATGTCTTGCAAAACGCGGAGCAGCTGCGCGCCGCGTTCCATGATGCGCACGTAGCTGAAGCCGGGACAAACCACGCCCGCGAGCATGTTCAGCGCCAGTGGCAGTCCCAGGAACGTGTTCGGGCACGTGCTTACGAGTCCGGGATCCTTAGCCACGATCATCTCCTCGAGCTTTTCCGTCGCCGCGGCACTATATTCTTTGGTGCCTACTATGTTTATTGCCTCGAGACTGAAGTTTTTCATGTCCTGTGCGAACGCCGTGGCCAAGAAGGACGCGCCCCGGTTTGGAAGGTAGAGCTCGCCAGTCACGTACAGACCGACACACACGGCACCGTTGAGAAATCCCACCAGGTGAACCGTCGGGCGGTACACCGTCTCTTTTTCGATCGAGACGGCCAGCGTCGAGCTGAGAAAAATCACGGCAACAATCACGGGCAGTGGGGCAAAGAACAGGGAAAGCACTTCGGGCCAGGCGTACAACCGCGTGAGCCCAGCGGTGGTCCCGTAGAACAGGATCAGTCGCAGCACGTGAACCAGCAACAGCGGAACAGCATAAATCAAACCGAAAAAAAACGCGTTCGCGAGCCAGTACGTGCCCCGTGGTAGCCCGTACAGCACCTGCACGTCGTACAATTTCGTGCCCGTTTCCTCGAAGACCAGATTCCCGAACCCGGTAAACACGAACCACAGGGGCAGCAGAAACGCAAACCACGTCCGAAACGCCAGGTCCATTACAAGCATGTTGATCGGCATTGCTTGGTCCAGCCCGCGTCCGATTTCGGCCGCGTCTGTGTCAAAGCACAACGACCCGTAATCAGACCCCTCCGGCCGTACTGCAGGGCACTCGTAAGAGTTAGCGAGCTGTTTGCTAGCTTCACTTGCACCGCTGCTTGTGTACATCACGACCATCGAGATGATCATGATAACGACCAGGATGTACAAACCCAAAAACTGGCACCACCGCCCATTCCTCAGGTGAACGTCCGCGTTCTTGCCGAGAACTGTGCTAAACAAAGACGACATGATCCTCTCGTCGAAAGTGTCGATGCAGTAAAAATGTAGTAAACGAATATCCTCCCGGAACCAAGGATAGGTACAAGCGAAAACAGGATTAGAAGTGGATGGAAGTTATTTCGAAGTAGCGAGTCTAAAAATGTTCTGTCCTCACTCGGAAAGAGTAAGGGAGACGATTCTCTACTGGGAGACGATGATTCTAAACACCAAAGAAAGGGCACGAGAGTTTAGGGTTCCTGAAAGTTTTGGATTTGGATTTACTTTTCAACATCATTATCAATCTTCAAAATGGCAAGTCATGATGTTCCGCAGTCTTTGAAAAGAAGCACGAGATTCGCACGATACGACGACGGAGTTTCGCTACTACCAGCTAGGACGTATCACGAAGAATGAGTTACTGCTGTTGCAGTTCAAACGAGCACCACAACTATTTTTCCTACTTGCTACGACAAGAAACCAGCACGACGGTGATGTTTCCACGAAAGAGAAAAGCCGTGCAGGACTTTCAGCACGAAGGAAACGGCATGATCGCGTACGAAGCAATTCCAAACGTCATGGAGTCTTTATGTTTTTAGGTTTTGCTCCTGCTACTGATTCTGCGCAAGAGGAGCAGAATCCGTTTTGTCTCAAGAATGAAGTTGGAATCATGTTTCTCTTTCTGTTTTCATTTCACGAACTATGCGTGCAACATCGCATTCACTGCCAGTTCAGACCGATCGCGCCATTTTTGTGGACGCAAGACCAAAAGGAATTATCGCAGTCTTTCATTGAGCAGTTACAATAAGCTCGTTGAGTCCAACAAAAACTCATGACAGGCTGACAATGTTGTAAAAATGTCATGCATACCCGACGGACTGCACCACATCAAAAACCTTTGCACCGTCCGTCGCCGCAAGCAGCTTCGGGCGATGTAAAAATGTCATGCGCACAGCGACGTCAGCGGGCAAAATTTCCGAAGCTAAGTTTTCCGAATTGGCTCCCGACTTTTCCGGCCGGTCAGCAAAAGCAACGTCGTGTACTGCAGAAGTGAGGCCAGGAGGCGAGCCGCGTACTTACGACGGGTTTCAGCCACAAAAGAGCAATGGCACAGCCAGCGCTCGTCCGAAAACAACGCCAAAGGATACGCCACAAACTACCCAGTCGTCGATTACGCCGATGAATGCGAGCGAAAAAAGCACTTGCGCGACACTATGTTTATTTTTCGACGGGATTGAAATACGACGCTTTTTTCTACTGCCTCCCATCAAATGCAAAAATGCCTTGAAAAATGAGAGCCAACATAGATGTACATCCATATCAATTGGACCAATTGCGGAAAGGCCGTGAAGTACTTACTTCTTCCATCCATACAGACCCCAGCAATCCAAACGTGACACCGTTTGTTGCAAATGCAATGCCCACACCAAGCATAGCGCTGATTCGGCGGATGCTGTAGTTGCATTTGCAAGGGCATCACATTGACATACGCACGAAAAAATTCTCGTCTCGGAGCAGCAACACTGGTTAAAAATAAAAAGCGATGAAAAAAATAAGACCCACACTGAGTAAAAGAAAACGCAATGACTAGAGTGATGTGGAATACTAGCCCGGAACGTCGACAAGCTGCCCTTCTTTATCATAGACTGGGTGAAAGCGTCCGGCGCACAAGCGGCTGCGGTATGCAGGTGGGTGAAAAAAACGTGCTTCAACTCTGTCTCCTCGCAGCGCAACCGGAGCGGTTTCCAAATCTAAACCAAGTTCGCTCTCGACTTGTGGTCCTTTCCAACGACAGAACGTCATGGATGCTTCCGTAAAAAATCGCATAGGAACAACTCAATTGAGCGCCAAAACAGACAAAGACAGGCGAAACGCACTTTTTCCAATCTCGTACCCAGCGCAGAATTATGCCGACATAGAGAAAGTAGAGCCCCACACGAGCAAGACAGCAGTGGATTCGATGTCTCTTGAGCAGCAAGCTGCATGCGAAGAGCACCACGTCGGCAACCAGCGCCGTGCAGTACACGACGGCCCAAACACTGTCCCGCGTTGTCTCCTGCTCGCTTTTCGGCTTCCGTTCGTCCCAGGTGTTTGCCACAACAAAGCCCGCTACTGGAACCTGATCGCCGTTCCAGCTCTTTGATGTTGCCCCATACCCAGCAGTCTGGTGGTACATCAGTGGTTGCTGGTCATTCTGTCTCTGTCCCTGCAGTGCCGGCGCATGATTCGGATGATAGTGTGTCGCGTAGCCGTCAGGTCGAAGAGCGCTCTCCTGCGGACCTGGCTCAAACATTCTTGAACCTCCTCCCTTCCAGACATCGCGCGGCGGAGGTGTCCTACTGCAAGGGCTCCGCTGCCCCGATGAATTATACCTTGTCGGGTAGAAGTTCTCCTTGTTACAACTCATTTCACAAGGACATCCTGCAGGACCCACATGCTGTGGCGCACCGCCAACTGCTGGATGCATTTTTTTGCTTTCTGGTTTTGTGGACTGAAAATGCGAACTGCTGGACCTTCTGTTCAACATATCTGCCGGCTCAACATGTTTCCTCCCATACTTGTGCGAGTGATAGGAGGGAGGCTGTGTACCATAACCGCTACCGCTTGATCCTCGACGATGTCGCTCATTAGTTGTGGGATGTTGATGCGCCGTACCACCAACACCACCAGTACCTACAGGCGTGACCGGCACGACCGGAGACCGCTGATGAGAGTGCTCCGAGGGGCAGCTTCCACGCGACTGATGGTTGTAGCAGGACACCACGACCGGATTCCGCGGTGAATACGGACTCAATATCTTCTGGTTGAAGGAGCTCGCGTTGGGATTTATCGAAATGTTGTTGAAGACGACAGGGTTCTCCTCTTGGTCCGTGCGTCTTCGTGGCAGGTCCAGTTGTCCGTTGCTGTAGTCCAACGGCGCAACAGCTCTCACTTGTAGTTCGGGTGCTCGTCCGGCTGCAGCCTGTACCACAACTTGCGGAGCTCGTTGTTGAGGACTGTGCACCATCATAGTAGTACTCGGATCATCGTTTCTTGATGCGACAGCCTGGGCGTGCGTTGCCCGGGCCGCGGATGGATTTTGCGCCGGGTGCCGTCCCTCCGCGGTCGTTGGCGGGCGGTAAAAGGCTTGCGTTTGCTGCAGCAGGGCCCGCGTCCGGTCGTCCACTGCGTCCTCAGGCTCCGCATCCGGTTCCACTTCCGGCTGGAACTCACCGTTGCTCCTGTTGATTCCTGACATGATTGCTTCCAAATTGAGTGTGATGTTGTTCTTCAACGCTAAATGCGATATTAGCACTAAAATCGCTAAGAACCTCCTTGGAGAAACTCACGACGCATACGTATTCGGAGCATCAAATTGAAATCTTCATCTTCGATAAACATGCATCGGTATATAGAAGCGGAAAAACACCAGTACCTCGTGCAGATCTCCAAATGTGTTGGCTTCAAAAGGAAAAAATGAACTTGCTGTTCTTGTTGCACAAAAAAGTGCCAATTTGAATTTGATCTCACATATGGAGAAAAATTAGCACGCGATCTTCAAGGTCACAAATTGACACTTGACAGGAACCAGCAAAGTTGCAAAGGAAAAAAAATCAGTAAGACCGGAACGCAATTCAAATTCTCAAACAGTCACAGAGAGAAAGCAAAAACGACCGAGGATCACGTCACAGATATTTTGTCACTTTGTCCGTTGTTGGAGAGCATCGTCTGCAAGAGGAGCTCCTCCGACACTACTCATGCAATGACGTCGACATTTTTCATACCGGGCTGCGTGTAGGCACAGGTAGCAGTAAACTACCCTGAAAGTTATTTGCGTCAAACACAGTAAAAACTAAAATTAAAAAGCGTCGCTATTATCCACCGAGGCGCGACGTCTGCTTCATGTTGCAGCTTTTCACCAGCATAATTCCCTTGCGTTGTACCGCCCAGTGCTCATAGCGGTGTTCAAACTCTGTCTTCGATTCCGCAAAGAGAGGCCAAACTGAGAAGTGCGAACGCAAGGTGCAGCGGGTCTTCTCTGGCCTACATCGGCTCGTCAATAGTCTGGCGCGATGTCAGGCACTCCGGTTCGATGATCCTCCGATGACATGTACCTGAAAAGTTGTTTCGTATATCGTTCGCCGCACAGGTAGAGGTGCTCGCCCAAGGACGGTCATTTCTGTACAGCAGAGACTTGCGAAGAAGTACCTGCATCCCTAAAAGTTGACTAGCTCCTCCATCAGTCACGAGAATTTCATTGTACCACTCTGTGTATTTCCACATGTCGATCGTCGGTTCCCGGAAGTTTTTTTCTTCGAATTCGCACAGCTGCTCCATGAAACCCAAATTCGGCGTGATCGCCGCTCGCCGCGAACGCACCAGGAAAAAGGCGTCGTGCAGGGTGTAGTTTAGCTTGGCCATGAGGTACGAAATCACGACGGTGGCCGACCGGGAGACGCCGGCGCGGCAGTGCACAAAAACGCTCGGATATGGGGCCGAAAGAAAAACTCCTTCACATTTCTTATACGCAATGATTTTCCAGACATGGTGTGCGCAAGAGATTGTTTTTTGACAGAAACAATTATCTCAATCGTCCTCAAAAAGGTGGGGAACTAACACTCCGATGCATTTTCAGCAACCCAAACGTTTTGTGAAGTGGCTTTTTCCCTGCATACCTCCTCCTTCGACGTGAACGAGTGAATGAAGTCATGCGCCTCCTCGAAGTACCTGATTGAGCCAAACAGCTTCCAACTCTTCAACACAAAAGCAAAACTTGAAGTTTCAACCTTCAGCACACGCAACATGCATGACAATAAACCTCCAAAAATTCCAGTCATCAACACGGTTACTTTCTATGCGATAGGCATACCTCGCAACTACAGAAAAGTAATTTAAGTTTTAATACAGGTGTATGGGTTCCCGAGACTGGTCCTCGACATCGACGCGAAAGTATTTTATATCTGCCTGTTCCTCGGTGACCAAGAATTCCGTGTACGGACAGCAGCAGACCACCGCGACGATCTGGTACTGCCGCAAGACCTCGGGGTCACTTGCCGTTTCAATGGTCCCCAAATGCCAAATATAGCCGCCGGGGCGGAGGTAGTGAGGTCGTGGGCGTTTTCTTGCCGGCCGTCGCCTTGGCCGCGGCTTTGCTTTTTCTGGCCTCGCCATACCGCCGTGAGTAACGTTAGGCCTCACGGTATGGCGGCTGCTTGATGAGCGTCGCAAATTTTGGCAAATTTTCGAAATTGCCTTCCGAAAGCCAGCCCCCATGCTATGGGGTCGATCCGGGCGCCACGGGGGGCGCCCAAAAAGCGACGAAAAATCGGGCCCATAGCATGCGGATTGGCTTTGCGCGTCTGGCGCGCTTTTTCTTTTTTGCGTTTGTATTTTTCTCGCCGGCGCTTTTTGCAAAGCTTCACGGGCTCTAAAACCGGCGAAAAGGCGGCCGCTTTTGCGGCTGCCCAAAATGCTCCGAAATCTCGGCCGTGCCGTGCTGTTTCGCTGTTCTGATTTTGGGCGCGTTTTTTTCGGGCGCCCTTTTGGGCGCCCCAAATCGCCAGAAACTAAGGCGGTGGGCGCCTGAGAAGGGCGCCCCTTTTGCCGGCTCCCCTGCGTCGTTTTATCCAGTGCGAATCGATAGAATCCGCTCGGGCTTTTTTGCCGCAAACGCCCCGGCCGCTTGATAAGTGAAAACTTTTTATGCTCAAAAACACTTCCGGCCGCTTCAAAACTGCCGGTCGTTTTTCACGTTAGGTGGCAAAAAAACTCCCCGGTTAGAACCGTTCGGTGACCTCACTACATAAAAATGAGGAACGATCAAGTCCAACATTCGTCATTTTGGGGTTTCGGAACCAATGCTGAAAGGTGTTGCTCCTTGTGACACAGGTTTGCATGAAACACGCAGCGGCTGGCGAGGTGTATTAAACAATTCTGAAACGACGACCGCAGTCAGCTGCCCCGTGAGAGTTCGACCGTGGCGTAAGCGAAACTGGATTAATGTTGCCGGACGTGTTGTAACTACAGGCTGCACAGTGACCATCGAAGATCATGGAAAAAATGCGCCGGGATAAAAGTGGCCGAACTCCAGTTTGCTATAGCCATGCCAGCTACCGCTGCCGGTATACCTTTCGAAGCTCGACGTGGAATTCTGAGCAGCTGGTGAGGCGGCCATTGCGGAATTTGTAGTTTCAGAGCAGAAGTTTCCCGTCGTCAACATTTTTGGCAGGATGCGGGGTACTCAAAAACCATTTAGACAAAAAACAAAAACGATGGTTGTAAAAATTGCGTTCGAAAGCAGCCCAAGCGAAATTATTAACCAAAATGAAGCAAAAATCTAGACTGCACAAATGGAAACTTGAAATTTTGTTTTTTGTAAACGCGGTGAAGAATGGGTCACGACCGACACAGCACAGGATCTCAGACGCAATTTTGGACATCTACACCCGACCAACCTGTAACTACACACGCAATTCAGAGTGATGAACAAAGAACATTTTCCTCCATATGAACGGCCGCAGCCGCCTCCATGCACGGGAGAGCACGAGTCGCAACTTTGCGTGCGGATCGAGCACCGTTCGAGACCTCGCTCGGTGTCCACAGGAGAACGCAGTCAATTGCATTGATTTTCATCGTACAAGACAACATACAAGACTGGTCTTCGGAAGTAATAGCGCAATTTCACTGCGGTGCCTTTGGATTAAGTGTAGTTGCTTTGTCCATATCATGTTTTACTGCCTGTCCTGTCCGCTACATTTCGTGCAGCGAGATCCGCTTTGCAGAGTGTCTCCAGGGTTCGAAACAGCGCGGGTTGGACGTGCAGGGACTTCATGAGTTCCGGCGTGGGCGGGTACATGGAGATGGACACCTTGGTCCGCAGCGTTTCCGCGTTCATCCGTAGCGCGAAGATTTGCCACGCCACGTGGGCCGCCACCGGCATATTGAACATGACCATGTGTCTTAAGCCGCCCATAAAGTGTCGACTGCACAAATCCACGGAAATCGCGTTCAGACGCTTCACCAGTTGCAAGTTTCTCGCCACGTTCAGCACTGATATCCCAGCGCAGTTGATGAAGATCACCTCCCCGTCCACACCACACTCCCGCATCAGCTCCTCCCTGCGCATCAAGTAGCAGATCAGCGCTCCGCCCAGCTGCCGGTCCGAGCAGGCGCGGAAAGACTCGGCCAGGGTGGCCAAAAAACTCCCCGCGTGCATGTACGACACCGGTTCGCCGCGGCCGGTGCGGAAGGAGGAAGGGAGGCCGTTCGGGCCCCCGTCCACGGCGATGGCAGTTGCTGTAGTAGTTACACCACCTAGTTCCTTGCTGTTTTGTCTCTTGCTGTTTTCATTTGATGATGTCCCAAGCGTTTGCTCGCGCCACCGCTGCTCTGAGCAGTGGCGAAGCACATCGGAATACAAGGGGAACAGCCCTCGCCGAAAAATGACGTCAATCACGGTGAAGGACTCCATCACCCGTGTCGGCAAGGGTGGTGTCTTCGGCGCCCACCGGTCGTTAGCCGACGCAAAGAGGAGAGGTTGGTCCTCGCTTGAGAAGATCTCCAGCTGCTTCTGCTCAGCGGACAAATCGATGCATCAAAATGAAAAGTTTCCCCATCCCATACTCAAACTAGAAATTTGCGATGCAGATTTGTGGTCACAAATCAGCTTTGTCATACAGGGGAAAAGATGCGGACTGTAGTGCTGGTTGGCGTGGGAAAGCCTTGCACCTTCAGCATGACAGGGGGCAGCTGGAAGTGGGAAACAGCATGACAAATTGCCTGCAAACGAGGCCACAGCTGCGTCTGCGTCTCTTGGCCTTCTAGCATTACAAGTCGATTTGTGTACTCAAATACAGCATCACAAATTTCGTTTTCGATATGGGGAGGGGGGATTTTTCCTTTTGATACGATGGCGCCTTTCTTCTTTTTCAATTTGTCCTGGTGCGCGCGCACCAGAGTCTTCAAACTGCGCTGGTGTTCCTCGTACGGTTGAGAAGCGACAACTGCCTGCAACTTCGAAAACGACTGTCGCAAAACCGCGCGGACGCGGAATTCGCAACGCGGATCCGCGGAGCCGACGATAGACGACGAACCCGATGAAGATGGTGCAAAATAATTCGTGGCTTGTCCTTGTTCCAAAGTATTTTGGAAAGAGCTCGCTCCACCTGCAAACGCATTTTTCGGCCAGCACAAATCTCCGCGTAAGTGCACACGAAACAACGACACAAACCGGCTGACGACCGCTTCCGCCATGGCGATTGCCGCTTTTTCGAAATGCCAGTCGTAGAACTCGAGGAAGCGGTGCACGCCCTGATCCGCGCCGTTATTGTAGAGAAGCAGGTATTCCAGCACCCAACAGGCACACAATTCCTTCACCTCCTGTTCGTCATATCCAAAGAAAAAACATTGTAGGTGTAACTTTTTTGGAGGAACAGCATTACAAATCTGTCTGGCATGACAGCAAAAACCTGTCATGCGCAGATAGTACGCGAAAACGTCCTTTAATGGACCCTACAACGCATGCCAAGCATGACAGACGCAATCACTTTGCATGTTGCGCATCACAAATTTACACTAACAACGTTTTTTTCTTGGATACGTCAGGATCGATTTTTAGTACCTTCATCTCCTCGTCCACCGTGCTATCTTCGACGAAAAACGCGTCTTTGGAACTCATCGCCTTGCCCGTCCCGACCAAAATTCCGGCGGCGCCGACGGGCACTGGCGTGGATGCTGTACTGTTCTCCGCGGAGCTGACAGGTAATGCAATTCTTTGATGTTGAAAGGCGCTTTGTTGATCATGTTCCGCAAGCGCGTCCACAAATTCCTCCGTCAAGCTGCCACCTCCGGAGGAGCCAAGCGTCAGAGACGAGGTTCCGCTCACCCCGCGAATGTCCGCATTCACGTCGTCAAGTTCGACTGGCGGGGGCGTCGACCCCTTGCTCACCATGGTCTCGTCGTCGAAATGGACCACTTTGTTCTTCCGCTTCATTCGACTAGAGACATCACTCGTGCCGCTCTCGCGCGAGGCCTTCCTTTTCGCCTTGTTCCGACGCCGCAGCCACGAACGGCGCTCGGCGTCGACCAGGTCGAGAATTTTTCCGCTCGCAAAATACTGCTCGAAAAATTTGTGCAGTTTCGCCGCTTGCTTGTTGTTTTCTCGCCCAATCTTCTCCTGCAGCTCCGCCCGCATCCACTCCGTGAACTGCCCGCGCTCGAAATTCCCGAAGTGGCTGCAGTTTTCGTAGAAGAATTCGACGGCCGATAATTCTACGTCTTTTACTGCTGCCCCGCTACTTCTGTGAAGATCCACTGGGTCGTGGGCAGAAGTTGTACCTGCTCTATCAGAAGCTGCAGCTGCTGGTGATGTTTTGACACTACTGCTACCACCGTTTTTGAATTCTTCCAGGATCGCCTCGGGAACACGGCCCTGCAGGTCGCGTGGGAGCCTTTTTTCATCCTTCAGCCAGCTTTCGAGAAAAAAATCCGGGGTGGTGCGATTTCCGCGGTCCGCCGTTTTCTGCGAGCCGGGCGAATCGTCCTCCGCGTCGGAGTCCAAGTCCTCCGACAGCTCGCTCTCGTCGTCCTCCGCTTCCTTGCGCGCAATTATCCTGAGTAAAAACGTACCCACACCAGAGTCAAGATGGGAAATCCGCTAGACAAATCAGCCACCTTTGGTTGTTTCGCATGACAAGTTTATCCTCGTAGTGTGATTCTATTTAGCTAGTTCCGAAGCATCACAGATCTAGCACATCATGCTGATTCTAGCATCACAAATCCCAAAACAGGACTAGAAAATGGCTCTCATGGGGCTCCGCATGAGAAACTTTTACTTTTTTGGCATGCAGATTTGCATGACAGCCCTGGGGTGGGGACATTTTTCCTCAGGATAGCAATTGCCGCATCTTCATCGTCTCCCTGCCGTCGCCACCGCGAACAGCAGTTGCAGCCGGAAGGCATAAGATAAAGCGCTTTGCCTTTCGATAAGGACAAGCGAAGAAGATGATAAAATTAAAAGCTAAGTAGGTAACTACAAGCGACAGAGCCAACGGGCAAAAAGAAAGCCAATGCGAAAAAACAGCGTCGACGAAAGCTTCTTCTAACGAATGGACTCAACAGCAATAAATGCAACGAAAAAGTTGGAAAACGAACAGCCAGCCCACGCCCACGATCGTGATGTTGGTGAGTGCAGCGGGATCAAGTCCTAGCGCCCATTCAAAAAAACTCGGTGGAAACGGATTTTCTACACATCCAACTGCGTACTTATTAGTGCGTACTTATTAGTGCCCCAAACACGTGTTTTTTGTTCTCGAATCCTGTCGCAGTACAGAATTTGAGAATCGAATCGTGTCACATCGAAACAGAAGGTCAAAATCCAAAAAGTCACAGTTGCTTCTTCCTGATGATCGAATGCGCGTCTATTTTTGGGCCCAGATCTTCTTCCGAACCTTTTTGTTTTTCAGATGCTGGACATCTCGTATAGTAGATAATGCATGATCATACGATAAAAAGCCACAGTTCCCTTTGAATACACGTAGTAAACAGCGTCTTTTGGTCTTCTTCAACTTCATTGAATATTCATACTATACGGGCGCAGCACTCCTTTCCTTTACCAGAAAAAGACAGTAGAAGAAATGGATCCGCGGTGCAAAAACTGTGTTAGTATAAATTCTTTAAATTTCGGGTTCGTACAACATGTCTGACTTTCCGCCCAGAAGGTGAAGTACTACTCGTCTTAGCGTCGCTGCCGCCTCCACTCCTCTCCCGCCCCTGCATAAAGGTCATGATTTTCAGGGCGGGGGAGAAAAAGGCCGCGAATCGCATCTAACTTGTGTTCTCAAACAAATCTATTGAAAAAGTTTACTTCTGGATAAAAACGCGAACGATGAAAAGCCAATATGCCTGTAGATGAAATATTTCTGTTTTATCCGAGGACACACTCTTCACCGCATTCCTCGCATCAGCCGTCGGGCCGAATTCCGTTTGTCCAGCTGGTGCTTGATGTGCTGGGTCATCATGAGAATCGCGTTGTTTTTTTCCATTTCCGCCTCTTTGGTGTTCGGGATAACCACATCCGCGTACCGTTTCGACGGCTCGATGAAGTTTTCGTACGACGGCTTCACGAACTTCATGTACTGCTTCAGCACGTTGTCGAATTCCCGTCCGCGCTCCGCAATGTCCCGCTGGAGCCGCCGGGCCAAGATCACGTCGGCGTCACAGTCCACGAAGATTTTCATGTCCATCTCGTTCCGGAGGTCCGGGCCCACCGCGTAGATCAGAATCCCCTCCACAATAATCACGTCCGCCGGCTTGATCGACTCGCCGCCCGCACCGCCGCCGCTCCGGTCGGCTGATTGCCGGGTGTGCGACCCGTTTTTCACCCGGCTGTGCGTGCAAAAATCGTACCGGGGGATCTCGACCGCCTGAAAGCCCTGCTTCAAGGCCTGCAGCGTGGCCGTCAGCTCGTCCCACGCAATGGCGTCGGGGTGGTCAAAGTCGTACTGGGCGGCGTGCGCGAGTTTTCGGTCCTTGTCGCCCAGGTCCTTGTAGAACGCATCACTGGGGATGAAGGCAACGCGGTGGTCGTTGCGGAGGGCCTTGCGGAAGATATTGCACAACGTCGTCTTCCCGCTGCACGTGGCACCGCACACACCTGGAGCGAGTGGTCCGAATTTGGCTATTTCATTTGCAGAAACGCTGCTCAATCACCATACGCATACCAATAGTAGAGAACGACTCGAAACAAACACGAGTGTGATAAGATCATTCGCGTCCAAAGACATCCAATTATACCGATGACAAACGGCTTCACGAAATCCTTCACACAGCTGCGGAAATCGCCCCCACTGAGCGCTGCCGTCACCACCTCCTCGTGGCGCTGGCGCTTCTCCAGTCTGCTTCCCGCCAACAGCGAGTACGTCATGCGCGATGTGGCTTTTCGATTTGCCGCCGAGGAGCGAACAAGCGGCACCACTGCGTCCGTCTGTGTTCGATGATGTGACGTCGTGTTCTTTATCCCATTCGTCGTTCCGCCGCCGTAAGTACAACTATCCACCCCGTCTTCCTCCTCGTGCAGGACGCTTTTTGGGGGTGAATTGCTGGACTCTGACACTGCCTGTGCGCCACAGTTCGCTTCCGCTTCCGACGCAGTCGTCACCGCTGTCGCTGTGGTCGTCATTTCGACCGATTTGTTCTTTGGCACGACCCCTTCCAGCAATGGCAACTCCCGCGAGCAGCCTGAAGATGTCGAGGCTTCCACTAGCGGGACCGGATGACTGACACCGCTCTGCGTCTTCACACGACCTCCGCCTCCTCCGGTTTCTTCCACACAAAATTCTTCGCCGGAATGGCTAGAATCCAGACAACCTCCCTCTTCTAGCACGAGCTGCACACTGTGGTTACGGTCGATCATCTCGTCGTCGTCTAGACCCGGCACAGCAGATGATCCAAATTTTCCTTCTTTCAGGGGCGATTCGTCGCTGTAGCTCCGCTGCGGCAACGGCGGCACCTCGTCCTCCCCCACGGAAAGAATCGTTTTCAAGACGCCCGCGGGCGGGTTGCTGTAGCTGGTGCACTTCTGGTCTTCGGACGTAACCGTGACAATTTTCTCGTGTGATGGGAGAGTGTTGCTTTGTTGACTAGTACTGTTGTTTTCCGACACCGAACTGGACTTGTCCTCCGCGCCGTTTTTCCCATTCGACAATAATTCCACCGTGTTTTTCCTCGAACTTGCGCCGCTCGTGCGTTTCACCGCCGGCGTTGTGGTGAGAACTGGCGGAGCGGTTGATTGTACTAAACCAAGTAAGTTGCTGCCGCTCTTGTTGTGCTGAAACAAAGGCGTCGAAGCGAGCAAATTTGTGGTCCCCGTACAACTGCTGCCCGGGGTCGTGGAGGTTATCTTCGTGACCGCCCCAACGGTGGTGGTTGTCACCGTGTTCGGATGCGGTGGGGGTGCGAGATGATGCGTCGTGGTTATGGTTTGAGATGAACACGTGACTGTCGGTGTGGTGCCATTCGTTTTTATCGGCGTCTTCGGCAAAAGCGACGACGTCACTGTAGTACAACTTGCGTGCGGCACGATCCCCACAATCGAGGAAGTTGTGGGGAAGAACTGTTCTTTCTGTAGCACGCTGCTCTTCGCCGGATCGTACCCGATTTTGCTGCCGGAAAGCTGCTCGACCGGCCCGAGGAGCGAGTCGGTGGTGATGTGGCGGGCTAGCAACCGTTTCGATCGTCGCTGCGTCGCGAGACCAGTTTTCAGACCGTGGACGGCAGAAACCTGCGGGCTGCTGTAGCCGCGGTCGTCTTCCGTATCGCTGTCGTGCGGGGGAACTTCGCGCTCGGACATCTTTCTAGTAGGGATGAGGCGGGGTATTAGACCGACAATCTGATAAATCCGATTTTCAACCGCTCCCGCAAAATAGCAACTTGTGGAACGTTCACTGAAAAGAAGTTTGAGTCCGACAAAAACATCGGTTGGAACCTCTTCAAATTATAGTCTGTGACCTCTACTACAGTGCTGCAAAACTGACCGGAAGCAAGCTTGATGAAACTCAATTGGCGGGAACGGAAGCGAAACAACCAAAACTGCTAAAATGATTTCGTTCGTCGGATATCTCACATTACCTTGCTCGTGCTGCAATTGGGGCCAAATGACTATCAAAGCATGTCGTCCTCCTCCTAAAAAACGCAATCGGAGCTGCTGAAAGTCGTGGCAAAGCAACAAAGCGAACATCTAGGTAGCGCGAGCTGAAGAAACACATATCTTCGGAGTGGTTATGATCAAAACATTGAAAATGAGTGAGAGCGAAGTGAGGTGGTATGTATTTCATCAATGTGATGCTCTTTTTGGATTTCATCGAAAAATAAGATGCGCCCTCAACGCTTCTTACACGTGTTTGTATGTAGGCAAAGCCTCTTTCGCGCGCTGATATTCTGCCCAAAAATCTTTCAGTGGTGCCAATCTCGAACTGTCACTGTGGCCCTGACTGTCCACGTTGACTCTGTCATCCCGTTCCACCTTGGTCTTCAGTGAGAAAATCGGCTTTTCCCACTTGTCACTGATCGCCAAAGTAGGATCTTCCCTACCCATCGGCGATATCATTTGCTCTTCGCCATCCGGGCGTGCGGCCAGATTTAGAGCATCTTTCGGTGCACCAGATACATCTGGAATAAGTTTTATCTTACCACCTGTTCTGCCTTTGATCTTTTCCTTCCTCTTTTTTACACGACCCTTTCTGCTGCCCTTGGCAGCAGCTTCAACACCCGTAGTTCGCAGTTCCTTTATCCGGGTTTGGCAAAGATGAATGTACTCATGAATCGCTCGCAGCATCCTGGTTTTCACGTATTCCGTGTCATGCCCGGGACGACACCCATAGTACTCAAACCCGACCAGCGCCCCTTCCTTCTTGCCAAAGGCCCACTTCCTCGCAATTTGCCGCAGCTTCAGCACGAGCCGCACCCTTTTGACGATTCGAAAAGTTATTTCCTGCTTCGCGGTGAGGGGCTCTCGCACCATGGGCAATTCGGTACTGGTATCCAGGCTCGAGCACGTGGAAGCAGCTGGTGAATACCCACTTGCAGGATCCTCCTCCTGTTCCAAAGAGGCCGCATGACCATCGTCATCTGCAGCCGGCGCATCTTTTTCCAGCACGGGAGAAAGAACCTCCATATCCCTTTCCTCGCACTTCTCGCGGTCTTCTTCTCTACCTTCCTTCTCATTTGTTCTGTTGCGTCGCGCTTCTGCCTCTTCGCGGATCTTCCGGTCGGCTTCCTCCGCGTATTGGCGGAAAAATTCGTCATCATCCGCATTTCGAGGCGCGCATATCAAATGCAAAAATGTCTGGGTCTGGAAGATTCTCAGCTTTGTCATGCTTAACAGACTGCGCGACTAAAGCCAGGGGGGGTGCGGGGTCCGAGGGGTGCACTAAGCACTGCCCGACACACCCGAACATGCAGTTTTTCAAGCTCCGCCAAGTCTCGAATGCAGGGCCTAGCATCACAGGTCCTGCAGCCCCTTGGTGGTGCCTATTCTGCATGAGAAATTGCCCCCTCGGCATGGCTAGAAATGGAAACCTTTTGCAAGTCATGCAACACAGATTTTTGTATGATCCGCAACACGCATCACAAGTTCGCATCCTTCCAGACCCAGACATTTTTACAGTTGATATCGCAATGGTATCTCCAATTGTCTGGGTCGTTCACGAATGGATTCGGCTGGTAGAGTGGCACATACTCACCATCACTCTCATCACTTTCGCCCGACAAGTGAAGGTCATCTTCTTCTTGTTCCCCGTCGCTATAATTGACCTCGCGATTTAATATTTTGCCGTCTTTCGTCCCACAATTATTTCTTTCGCGAGGATTGTTCAACGTCGCGACTTGCAGCACACCGAGCTTGTTGCCCGTCTCCTGAACAATTCTTTCCGGCAAGATCTCGCACTCCGTCATACAGGCGCTCCGCACAAGAGCAGTCTTTGATCTGCAGGAAGCAGGGACTGGAAATGCGCGCTTGCCCGCTTCTTGTTCACCCAACTTAGAGCACGTTGGTGAGCAATCGTCTTTTTTACTCTCTAGCTTTTGCGCAGCCACGGGAGTTGTCGTCGCTGCTGGTAGCAAATCGTCTGTACTCGTCGCTGCGTCAACCACAGTCGCACATATATTTCCACCTGAATTTGGCACTTGTTCCGCCGCATCTCGGACTTTTACCACCGCTACTGCCCAAATCCTCTCGGCGGTCGCCTGCGGTCCATACTTGGTAAGCACCTCGAGCGGTAGACTTGTGGTATCAACGACAACTTCAACGCTTCCAACCAGACGGACGTCGGTAGAAGTAGACACGGGCTTCCCGCTCGTAGGCGTATACAAAGTGTTTTCTCTACTCCTTTCCCGCAACGCCGTCTGCAGACAGGCACCCAAAGCTTTCAATTCTGTGCGACGTTGCTGCTGCCGCATATTCTGGTCCACAAGTTCCGACACTGTAGCGATTTCGGCATACTTCCTACGGACCTGTTCTTTCCAAGGAGTATCGGCTGATGAATGCGCGACCTGCAGCTCAACCTGTGCCGGTGGGCTTTGCGGAGGCGTTCTTACCGGCTGTTCGGGTGGAAGAAAAGATGAACCTCCCACGAAAAAGGGATAGCAAGGCAAAATTTGTTCACTCTCGCATTGTGCTGGAGACGCATTTTCAGAGGTGGGAGTCGTGTTAGTACTCCTGATAGTACTAGCCGGTGACTCATCCCAAGCTAAATTCGTACTTAGAAACGTTTCTGCTGCACTGCCGGTGAGATGCTCTTTCAAATCTGGCACAAGACACATCTGCAGCGGACCTTTCTCAGCCGGTGGCATTTGCGCGCTCTCGTTCGACAACTGGTCTCCCATTGGCGAGCCGCGTCGCATCCCCGCTGATTTTTCCCCTGTTGGCTGCAGAGCAAGGCGCGCCAGCTCCTCCCGCTCGTCTGCAGTCACCTGGCTCTCGTAAAATTGCCACTTTGCGGATTCTGTGCTCTTTTGCACCTCGTTTGCACATTCCTGAACCCACTGCAACAGATCGGACGTACTGGTGCGTGGTCTTTTCTTGCCCGTGCCAGAAGAACTCTGTTCATCGTATTTACTATCACTATCACCGCACTGAAAGCCTGCAATCTGCTGCAGCAGTTCTTGTACCTCCAAACCCAAAGCACCATCATCGCTTTTTGAGGCGATTTGAGAGCTGAAATTCACACCCTGTTGGACAAAATACTGTGCTGCAGAACATGGCGATGCCACGCCTCTGGATGATGATTTGGGCGTCAGCTCGAGCACAGCGTTTTCGTAGACCTTGCTCGCCGATTTTGGCTGCAGTTCGAGCTCCATCTGCAAACGGTGCAGCGCCGAAATCGTACACGAGGATTCGAAAAAGCGTTCCGAATAACCCGTGCCGTGGTCCGCAGGGGCTTGTGTTTTGATTTCTTGTCCCTGTCGATCTCCGTTAGCGGAGGTCTCTTGTGCCGTCGAGTGAGACAAGCCGGAAGCCGAGGTTTGTATTGGCTTCGTCGACGATAAAACGCTGCCACAAGCTGCTGTGCGCTCCTCTTCGCTCAGCGCCGAAGCCACGACCTGCTGTTTTGGCTTGATCGTTGGCTTCTTCCCGTAGTAGCAGCGATGGGGGTCTTTCTGAATTTTCTCGTCTGCTTCATCCTGCACAGGAGGTTCTTCAGCCGCTATTTTCACTTCAGCGATAGTGCTGCAACCACTGCTTGCATAATCGGCCTCTTTGCATTTCGCCGAGAAGTAGAAGAACATCTGGCCCGCGTCAGACACTACCGCATCGTTACTCCACACTCGGTGCGAGACAAAACTGGTGAGCATCTGATACCGTTGAACAGAGCTCCCGGCGCCCGGAGTCCGCACATGGTTGGCTACCGAGCTTGTGAGAAATGGATACTCGTTGCGATTCCTCATCACTCCAGCAAGCAGGTGGAGCACACGCGAGATAATTTCAGACTTGTCACCATCGCTACCACATCCACCTGCACGAGGCAGATCTGCATCGTCCAAATGCACTTTCGGTTTTTTTCTTTCCGGAGCTGGCGACTTTATTTCTACTGAAACTCGCTCCGCAGCTCCTTCGTACTCAGACTCATCCGACCAGGACAAAATCCGTTGCCGTTTTTGGGGCGGTTTCACCTCGCAACAGCTTTTCGCCGTCGGTGCCGCCATTTTTCGTTTCTTCGCTGAGAATTTTGGAACGCCCGACACATCGTACTCGTTATGGTTTACGAAACTCAGGTCGATCTCCGCCCTGTCTCTTTTCGCGTAATACCTCTCCTCCAGCGCCGCGAGCTGACTCGGTGGCACGTAGGGCCGCATGTCCGGTGGCACGGCGGAATGCGGCACGGGCTGCACCGCCCAATTGTCGAACCTCTGGTCCGGTAGGTGTACGTGCAACATCTGGCTGTCCCCAGGCTTGTTTTTTTCTCGGTTCTGCACGCTAGCAGTTGCACCACCGTGAGGTCCTCTCGGCGGCACGCCAACTGATGGAAACTTCTTCAACGGGTTCATGCCGTTTCTTTGCTGCGGTTGGTCTACCTTGGGTTGAGCTGCAACTTGAGTGCATGCAGGTTGAAAAACTGGAGCAGCCGTGGAGAAAGGTACATTAGTCTGCACACGAGAAGGTACTCCCGAGCCCATAGGCCCTGTGCCACAGGCCGGGGCGAGCGGACCGCGCAGGATGCCCGGTGGAGGTAGTGGATAGCCGGGCGGCGGCCCCACAGGCACTACAGGCCGCGCCGCCGTCGGTAATACTACGCCTCCCCGGGGAGGGGGGCGCACGCGCACTGGTACCGGCGCGGCTTGCTTGGGTCTTGCCGCCATTTGGCAGGCAAGGCGCTGCAGGTTGCCGCCCGGTGCCTGCTTCGGTACGGCCACGGCGGGTAAACGGCCCGCGGGTTGACAGCCGTGTTGCTGGGTCGACTTGTTCATTTTTGTTGGGAAAGATCAAGCAGTTTTTCTTTTCGTGAACATGATGAATGACGATTTTCTACCTACTCCTTCGCGCGGTAGAGCCCTCGTCGATGCCCGACATACAGCACAGACGACGTGCCCGCGCAGGTAAGGATAATCCACGCGCTCCTTGAGGAGCCAACTTTTGAACCAGACCAAGATCCAATATCCAGCGTTGCGTACCCGATCAGTCGCCTTGAACGAGCCTGACAAAGGAGCGTCAACCGTAGAAGTGCACCAAGTGATCTGGCATCTTGAGTGCGGAAGAACGTGCAGGTCCGCACAGCTGATCCTGTTTCAGAGGTGATAGATCCCAAGAACCCTGATCTTTTTCTCACACATATCGCAGAATCCTCGAACTTGGATCGGCCATCAATCACTGGTAACCACGAGGTGATGATCTTATGTTGGATTCTTAGCGGACAATACCTGCCACCACGACCGCAGTACTTGAACAACGGGCGAGAGGTGCAATACATCCGAACATCAAAACGTAAACATCACGTATCGCTCTGAAGAGCGCAACCCTACGTCCCCTCCAGCTTTCACTCTCCTTTTTATCAGTTTTTCTTTTTTCCACCATTAGAATTCTTCCATGTATGCGATAAAGCGTTCAACCCATGATCACACAAGTTCACAAAAAGGCCGAACGACCTTCACCACGACCGCAAATCGAAATCACTTTTTCATGCACGATCAGAACTATATGCAACTTCCAGGAACTCCTACTTCAAAGTCAATACAGTAAAATCACTTCATGTTGGTCGAAAGAATTTGATGCGCTGATTGTCGTTTTATTGGTCACAAATCCGTACTGAAATGGAAGCTTTCTTGCCTCGTTGCTCAAGTTGCACACCTCCAAGAGCAGCTGAGAACTTCTCTGTAAAATCATTTCGTGGTCACAACTACTTCTTCACAGAACAGTTCATTCCGACGGGGATTGCGACGCGCAAGAGCTGCTTCCGCAGGTGGTGTAGCTCGAGCTTCCTTGTCGTAATAACGAATTTTCCCGCAGGCGGTGCTTGATGTCGTGAATCAGCATCTTGACCGCCGGCGCGCCCTCCAAGTGTCCATCCCTTTTCACGTTCGGGATGATCACGTCGGCGTACCGCTTGGAGGGCTCCACAAACTCCTCCCAAGACCGTTTCACAAACCGCAAATACTGTTCCTGCACCCCCTCGAAGTCGCGGCCCCGCTCGCTAATGTCCCGCTTCAGCCGCCGGAGGACGACCAAGTCAGAATCGCAGTCGATGAAAACCTGTTTCAAACAGTTTGGGGAAGTGGATAATTCCTATGCTACTCAGGCTGATAAAAGGATGCACATGCCTCCACTCCATCTCGATTGTTCTGGACCTTCTTTCTCAGAGCCAGAAATGCAAAACTACCCAACATGGCTGTAGTGCTAGAAAGGGAAGATAATATTTTTGTGTCTCTAATGTTCTTACCTTCGAGTCAAACTGGTCCCGAAGCTCCGGCCCGGCGGCGTAAATCAAAATGCCTTCCACGATAATTACGTCGGCCGGTCGCACGGTGTGTTCCGCCTTGTCCGCCTCGTCCACTTTGGGTACCCGCGCGTGCTGCGCGAAATCGTACTTGGGGAGTTCAATCGTTTGCCCCTGCTTCAACAGCGCGAGGTCGTTTGTCAATTCGTCGAACGCCAGCGCGTTCGGGTGGTCAAAGTCGTACTGCTGGGCGTGCGCCTGCTTCACCTGCTCCGGCGTCAACTGCCGGTAGTAGCAGTCGGACCTGGAGAGGGTTTGAAAGTGGTCGAATGCTCGCACTATGAAACTGTTGGAAGAAGAGAACAACGGGAAGAGAGACGAACGAGCAACCAAACTTAATGTTGGAATAAACTGGTTAACTCGACAAACGCGCAAACGTAACGACACACATTCCTTCCTAATGTCGATGAAATTATCATTTTTTGATACGGAATAAACGCCACGTCGAGGTTCTTCAGTTCTCTCCTCAAGATCTTGCACAAAGTCGTTTTCCCCGAGCACGTGGAGCCGCAGACGCCGATCACGTAGGGCGCAATCCGCTGGTCGGGCAACGAAGACGGCGACAGCTGCGCACTCAGTTCATCACTTTCCTGCAGGACCCCCGGTGTCGTCGTGCTGGCCGGGCTGGCATCCGGGGAGCCACTGCCCTCGGAGGGGACGGCATTGTGCCCGAGGACGGATTTTATCTTCGCCAAGGTGGTCTCCCGGTCCTTTGCGGCGGGAGAGGAAGTCGCGCTGGGGGTGGTCGTTGTCTGCATTTTTGCCATGATCTGGAGTATTTGTCGTCGGCGTTCTCGGTCTGAAATTTTCCGTCGGAAGTTTCGTTAGTGAATAATCTTCCCAAGCTGCTTCTGCACTGCTTCCTGCTGAGTAATAAAGAGGGATGGATCCCAGTTGTTGTTGGCTCCGCTGCCTCCGACAGGTGGTCTTGTCGGTTTACAAATACAGTGCACGTAGAAAAGAAACTAGTCCGTATCAACAAGTGAAAACAGTTAAGTTCTTTCGGTCGTGCAAGTAAAGTTGTAAAAAGGTCGAGAGCAAATTTGGCAAAAGAAACAAAGGTAAATTGTCCAACAGCCAGAAATGCTCTGTTCAGGGTGAGGGCATTTTCGAGTGAAAAACGCCGATCAAATTTTCATCGCCGAGAGGAGGAAATTTACCGCTCCCTTGATTTCAATCACATGAAGTGCTCTTGCAGCATTTTCGCCTTGCTTCAGCATCGTCAGCAAATTCCCCACAACTTCTTGTTGCATCGTCCAGCGTACAACAGTCTTTCTCCTTCTCGCGCAGTTCTATTTCAAGCTTCTAAATCACCGATAAGCAGCCTTATCGTGCTTGATCGTCAAATTTTCAGCATTTCAGGATTGAGATGCAGTTCCAACGGCTATTGAAATCTTAAAGTAGTAGCCCTTACATCATCCACAGTGGACTTTGAGGATCCAGGGAGTTGTGCACAAACCGCATTACGATCTGGTCTATCGTCACGCACGCTTCCTGATCCAATGACTTTTGATCCTGATTTTTTTTTCTCTTGTGTCACAGATCTAGTACTTTTCAAGTGACAAAGCTCATCATCTGAGTATGTATGCCAGTACTCTACTACGAAGCCGTGTCCACCAGATCGATTCAGAACTGAATTTAGACACTGCTTTTCTTTTTCTAGCTCCTATTCTTAGCATAACCTTGATGTAGTACAAAACCGATATTGTGGATTTCCTTGAGGAGAACAGTTCACATGCCAGCGAGACAACTTCGCATCAGAACTGCCGTGTGGACAAAGCACGGCACGGTCTTGCAAATAGCAAGCAAGCGTTGCGATTCATGTTCTCAAATTCTTGACTATACACATCTTTTGCGTTTGCGTTCATATTTCCAATAAAACACACACAGTCCGTCCACCACAACTTCACGTTGTGGTTGTCCTGAGACTTCTCTCTTCCGCCCCATCGGACGACTTCGACAGTGGCGCCTCGGCTATGCGCAGTCGTAGGTGTTCGGCTAAATTCTGGTCCGTTTGCGTCCGGCGAAACCGGTCCCGCGCGGCAAGCTGCATCTTGATGTGTTGCACGATCATGCGGACGGCGCAGTTTTTTCGGATTCCGTCCATCTCCTGACCATTGTTGGGAATAATTATGTCCGCAAACTGCTTCGAGGGCTCGACGAAGTTCCGGTAGCTCGGGCGGACGAAACGGAGATATTGCTGCATCACACCCGAAAAATCCCTCCCTCTATGCGTGATGTCGCGCTCCAGCCGGCGGGCCAGCCGGATGTCGCTGTCGCTGTCAATGAAGATTTTCATGTCCATTTCGTCCCGAATGTCCGCGGAAGCGGCGTAGATCAAAATACCCTCAACGATGATCACGTCCGCGGGCTCGAGCACCGCGCCGCCCGCGGTGCCGCTGGGCCGGACCGGCTCGGTTTGATCCTGCAGTTGCGCAAAATTGTCCTGTAGAGGCGGTAGAGGGATGCGGCTGTGCGTGCGGAAGTCGTAGCAGGGCAAACGGACTCTGCGGTCGCCGCGCTTGAGCGTGACGAGGTCCGCGTGGAGTTCGTCCCAACTGAGCGCGTCAGGGTGGTCAAAATCGTATTCCCCTCTTGCGGCTTTTTGTTTCTTCTCCTCATTCAGGTCCTTGTAGTAGCTGTCACTGGGCATGAACGCTACGCGGCTAACTCCCTTCAACGAGTCCCGGATGATGTCGCAGACCGTGGTTTTCCCACTGCACGTGGCGCCGCACACGCCAATCACGTAGGGGCGGTGGTAGTCGGAATACCGCGAAGCGTCGGACCCGCGCAGCGGCGTCTTCGGCACGCACTCGGCGATGTCGGCACTGATGACGGAAGCTTTGCTCAGCGGGCTGAAATCGTCTCGGCTTCTGCTGCGTCGGGACTCTGAGGTGGGTCTCTTCTCCGTGGGGGCGCGCAAAGTCGACGTAGACTGGCTCTGTTTGTCCGCCTGACTGTGCTCCCACCCGCCGTGCCGTGCGTGCGGTTTGCTGTGCGGAAGCTCCAGCTCGGCCTCTCCCTCGGAGGAGGTTTTCAGCCCTGCGTCGCTCTTCTCGTCCTCGCCCTCGTCGTAAAACATAAGCGGTGCACTTAGACTGCGAACGCGCTGCGAAACGTGGTTCAACTCGTGCTGTGTTCTGGCTGCAGTTCGCCCGCGGACGCGATAAGTCGGTATGCTATCCTGATTTCGCTTCGCTCTTCTCTCGACGCCTTGATGAAAACTACCTGCCTGCTCCCTTACAGTCCTCACGTCGCCTTCGGAAAAGTAGTTGTTTATTTCCACCGCATCATCGGCTGCTATCTCTACCTCACTTCCAATCCCCACTTCTTCCAGGTAGGAACTAGACGCAAGGTCGTCATCTTCGCTTTCTGCAGCTGCTGCCTCCTGTTCCCCTAACTCGACGCCCACGTCGCTCTCGTCGTCGACGCCCGTGTCATCGCGGTAGATAAACGCGTCGATGACCGGCGGTGGCAGCCGGTGGTAGATAAACGCATCGACTTCCGGCGGTACCCGAGGCTCGCAGTCCATCGTGGACTCAGACTCCGGGTAGAAAGACATCGGAGGTTGCTGGATCGTGGAAGCCCCGGTTGCAGCGGGTGTGTCATCAGCTATGTCTTCATCGGCCGCCGCAGTAACTTCTTCCGCCGCTGCTAATATCGCGTCAAGGTCCTCGTCGTTTTCTTCGTCTTGCGCAAGAACGGCCTCTGCATTAGCCACATCTTCATTCGGGCCACGATAAATGAACGCGTCGATCACTGCCGGTTCTTCGTCTTGCGCGGGAACGGGTTCCGCCTCTGCGATATCGGCATCAACCGCTTCCGCAGCTTCTTCTGCGGCCGCGAGGATTTCGTCGAGGCTCTCGTTTTCAGGTGCTATGCCTAATTCCGCGTCAACTATCTCTGTCTCTTCCTCTGCCGCCGCGATGAGAGCATCGATGCTCTCGCCTTCAGGGGCGATGGCGGGTGCTGCGACAGCAGCCGCTATTGCTTTCTCCTCGTCCTCCGCCGGCGCGACTGCTGGTGTAATATCCTCATCGTCTTTCGTGCGGTAAATGAAAGAGTCAATTGCTGCAGGGTGGTCTGGAGTAGCATCAAACTCAGCCTGGTCGACGGGGACGACCGCGACAACTCCGCTAATGTCCTCATCCACTGCCTCCATAACTTCTTCCGCGGCTTTTAGAAGCGCGTCGACGTCGTCCTCATCTTCCTCCGGGTTTTCCACCTGAGACGCTGCGGTGCCAAAAGGGGCTTCTCGTCCTTCATCTTCCACCGCTTCCCCTTCGGGCGTTGCCTTCTTCCGGTCACTACTGTGCTGGTCGTTTCCTAAATGATGTCCCACATCGACGTCGCTCCGCGGCGTGTGTGTGTAGAACGGCCTATCCGATTCCGTTGGCTGGCCCTCGGTCGGTTGGTAAAAAAACGGCTCGGCTGCGCCGTTGTTTGGCGCTTTGTAAACCTCATCTATTGTCAGGGGCCTACTCCTGTGATTCTCTGTGTAGTCGACGTCTTCTTGCTGTTCTTGCTGAGTAGTATCATCAACAACTTCCACCTCTTGCTTTATCGCGACAGCGGAGGTAGAGGACAACTTCACTGCATGATCGGCATCTGATGCAGTTGGGTTTTTATCCACCTCCGCAGGCTGCGTTTCAACGACTTCAAAAACCTCAGTACTATCTTTCTCTTCAACCCCAGTCACCTCCTCATCCACCGGAGCTCCTGCGCTTTCCCCCTCTGCCTCCAGCAGCGGCGCGCGCAACGCCGGTTCGAAGGACGAGGAGAACCGCCCGGGCCCGGACCCGCCCCGCAGCGGCTGGTAGCTGCCCAGATCGTCCTCCAGGTCCGCGGTCCCGCGGCTCACTGGACTGCTGTCCGCCGTGGTCAAGTTCGAACCAAGAGTCGTGCTAGTAACACCCGTTGCAGTAGGGGACGTCGTCGACCCCTTTAGCGCGCCGCTCTGCACGACCCGGATCATCTTTAGCAAGTGGTACGCTCGGTGCCATGGGTTGAGCGCAGACCTGCACAAAGCCCTACTGCGGTCGGCCAGCGCCCGGAAGTCCTGCGCGTCCTCGGGGTCGTCTTGGTCTAGACGGAGTTTTAACTCCTCCCCGAGCTGCGCGGAGGTGTGGATCAGTTCCGACATGTCATCTTGGTGCTCCACCAACTGATCGGCGTCCTTCATAAGCTCCTCTACCAGTGTTTTCGCGGTCAAAACCTCGTCTTCCATCTTTTCCAAGTCCTGCTGCAGCTGGTTAGTGGTGTCTTCTTGTTGCGCGGCGCCGTGGTCCCTTGGAGATTTGTCAGATACCACTTGCTTCTCACCGCCCGATGCGTCGCCTAGTTCAACAACCTCCCCGAGCGTGCTTTGGAGTCTCAACTTTGCCATGCGCACCGCCAGTTCCCGATCGATTTCGTCGTCATCGATTCGTGATAAAGACTGCCGCAAGAGCTTCACATTCACAGTTTTCCTAAACTGCGCAGAAGAACTACCTTTGGTGATGTCCTCGCCTCCTTCCGGAAGTTCGGCTGAGCCGGCAACGGAGTTCAACATCCCCTTCGACCCGGCGGAGGGACTGCCGCGTTGGTCCAGCTCGGTACTAACCATGTTGTGGAGCACGGCGAGCTGGAGCATCATCTGCGGAAACCGACTGGCAACGTCCGACAACTGCTCGTCGTGGTCTTCGTCCTCTGCGTCCAGCCGAAGCGGCAGAGTCTTCGAGCGTCGGCGGAAATCTGGTTTACGAATTTATTGTAAAGGATTGGAATCTAAAAATGGTTTTCAGCCTGATGAATATGCAAACAGTCAAAGATCCAAAGTCATACTGTTGTAAAAATACCAAGTGCGGTGGTAAGAACAATCATCAAAAATAACTCACCTGCTTCCAGCTGCTCCTGTTCGACCTGTGGGGTCTCCTCCTGTTCCTTCAAAACCTCCTCCACCGTCATGCCATGGTCTTCCGCCACTTTCTGTGCGTTTACCAACAACCGCTGCGACCGACGCATGTGCTCCACGTCGGCCTCGAACAGAGGCCGGTCGTGAAGATCTTCATGATGCAACTGCTCGCTTACGTTGTCATACTCGGGACCAGCTGCACTGCTGGCGCCGAAGTTGAGCTGGTGGGAACCTCTCAGTTCGTCGACCCGTAAACCCATGAGCTCCGCAAGCTCCCTCAAATCTTGTTCGTGCTCCTGCTGCAAATCCAATCCCTTCTGCAGTCGCACATGCGCCCGATCCGCGTAGGAAATGTGCAACCGGCTCTCGGCGAAGTGGCGGGTTACCTGGGGCGCACGGGGTAGGACGCCCACGAGCGACTCATCCCCGTCCTGGAAAAATCCGCCGTCGCTGGGGTCGATGTAATTCCGTTGCGGGAATGCGGTTTCGCGGAGCTTCGTGCTGTCTGCGGAACCCAGTGAAGCAGATGAAATTTTGCTCTCTCCGATGGACAGAGGCTCGGCGATCTTGACTGACTTCGGAGCTGTTTGTTGCTTATCCAGGTTCAAGAAGTTTGCGCGCACGGACGGTAGGAGATAAAAGGGTAGACTACTTACTGCAGATACTGGCTTCTCAACTGGCTCCATCTTGCCGCAGAAGACAAAATTAGCCCGCATCGAGGGCAGCAGGTCAAAAGGGACTCTGTCTAACAGTGCTGGTTGTGCCGCCGTGGAGGGAGATTTCGATGCGGCCGGGTGATGCTGGTGGTGTTCTCGTTTGTGGTGCTGATGGTGGTGGTTTGCGAGAATGTGGTGACGTGGTTTTTTGTGCGCTTCGTGTCGTGGTGTGTTTGTGTGCGCCTCTGAAGAGCCAAGCTGCAGAAAATTGCTTCGCACCGAAGGCAGAAGATCAAACGGGAGCCTGTCCAACAGGCAAGGAACAAACTTCTTTCGCACCATCACAGTGCGTGGCGTAGTTTTTCCCGATGAATGTGCACCCCCGATAATCTCCTTCTGCAGTCCCAGCCGCACAAAATTCGCCCGCGTGGACGGCAGTAAATCAAACGGCAGGTCGTCTAAGGCGCACAATGCCAGCTCCGGTTCTTGCGCTGCGGAGGCTACTTCGTCATGTCGCTGAAGCCCAAGCCTGACAAAATTCGCCCGCACCGACGGCAACAAGTCGAAAGGCAGGTCGTCTAGCGGAGCCAAAACGAGAATCTTCTGCTGCAAATTTGCCAAAGATAATGATTCCTTCACATCGATGTTCTGCATTGCCTGGATCTTCGCCGCTGCCTCTGCTAAACTCATATCAACCAGTACCAAGTAGTTCGCCTTCGCCGAAGGCAGGAGGTCATATGGGAGCCGGTCTAGTAAGTACGGCCGCTGCTTTTCGTTTCTAATTGTCATGTCGGAAGCTTTTGGTGTTCCACTTTGCTGCTGAACATACGCCGTCATATCCCCCAACTTCAAGTAATTGGCACACGAAGACGGGAGAAGCTCGTAAGAAAGTGTTCCTAAGAGACACGGCTGCTGCGTTTGCGCATATTTTCTCGCGACGGTGCTGGCCGCTACAGGAGCTGCAAGTCGCTCTTGCACAAGAGCCGTCATATCACCCAACCGCAAGTAGTTCGCACAAGCCGACGGAAGGAGCTCGTACGGAATCGTTTCTAGCAGGGACGGAGCTGCTATGGGGGCGGCTGCTTCTTCATCAGCCAGCGTTGTATCTTCTTGCTCTAGCACCTCGAAGAATGATTTGTACTCTTCGAGAACGCTCGTCACCTCCGAGGCCCCAAAAGCCAGTGGCGCGCCGTAGTGCGAGCTACTAGCCTGCTCTCTTTGCGCCGCGGACTCCGGGACGATATCCATGCTGACGACTTCGTCATTTCTCGCGGTTGCAATCGCCGGGTACGTGAACGTTCTCTCCAACGCCTGCTCGACTGCACCGGCCGCTTTGACAACGTCGGCTTTGATCTCTTGGGCCACCGACGTGGCTGTCGCACTACTCGCCGCTTGTGGAGCTGCGTCTTGCTTCGGTGGCTGTTGTACCGAGGCCTTGGCCGCAACAACACTGGCTGCAGCCGGAGCGGGAAAATTGCTTGCTTTCCCTTTGCCCTTGGTCTCGACCATGGGTTTTTCGTCACTTTTCGTCGTGTCCGCTGGTGGTGCCTTGGCTGCCATGGCCTGTATCCTCTTTGCTAAAAACTCCGCTTTTACCGCGGCGTTGGAGTTGTTGTTTTTCGCCGCTGCCGCGGCTTTTGACGCGGCGTAAGACCCAGCCCCTGCTATGGTAGGGGACGCGGCTGCTGCAGCGGGAGGTTTACCTAAAACTACTGCAGAGGCCGCACTGCTTGCTGCAGTTGTGGCCGCCTTGGACGCGGCATACGAAGTCGCTCCGGCGATGCTTGGGGACGTGGCGCCAGAACTTTTCGCCAGGGACTTGGACGCCGCGTACGAGCTTGCGCCTGCTATGGAGGGCGACGTGGCACCACTCGTTCCACTTTTGGCCGCAACTACGGGCACGACTGCACCGGATGATGCAGCCGGCTTCGCCGCTTCTCCTTGTTTTGGGGCCGCGACAGAAGTTGCGTCTACCACTTCCAGCACCGAGGTGAGCTCCATGGGCACGGGCTCTTGCTCAATCGGCGTCGCGACCACCGGCGTTGGGTCAACGCCAATTTGCGAAACGGGCATCATGAACACATCCTCATCCAGATCCTCTGCTTTGGTCGACGCGTTCTGAGCTTGTTCCGTGGTCGCCTTGCTCGGCATACTCGCTTTGCTCGGGACGACGTCGACAGAAAGTTTGCTCGGTACTCCTTCTACCGCCTCCGCAGCAACGGGCGTGCGCTTCTCCATGGCAGACTCGCCACTGAGTGTCCGGCCGTTCATGGTCATGACGATCACCGGTGCGTTCTCGACCTTGATTTGGGGTTGTTCGATCACTTCAATCTTGATTCCCTCGTCCTTCTCATTCACCGCCGCCGAGGAGCTGACGTCTTTGGACAGCACGCTGATCGGCGTCGCTATGTTCATCTCGACCACGTTCCCGTCCGTCGGTCCCAGCGGCGTGGCGATATCGTGCGTCTCCACCACCCGCGGGGTGCTAATGCTCATGGCTATGACCTTATTGCCCTCCCCGGGGCCGCGGGGTGTGGACATGTCGAAAGTCGCAACTGGCAGCTTCGTGGCTTCTGTAGCGGATGATGATGTTTTTGGCTCTTCCGTCTTAGCCGGTAAAATCGCTGCGGCCGGTTTGGAAGTTATCGCCGCAGGTGCTGGTGCCGGTGCTGGCGCTTCATCGGTTTCCTTCGGCACGACAGGTGGCACGACGCCTGGATTTGCGTCTGGCATCTCCACATCTGAAACAAGAGTCTCGGTAGGCCTCTCAGGCTCCTTACCCGCGGTCGCGTCCTGGCTGGACGGCACTACGGCGGCTGCTTTTAGAGGCTGAACTGACGCCGCAGGTCCTTGAAGCGTTGCAGCTGAAGTGGAAGCCTTCTGCTCATTCTGAGAATTGTCTACGGCAAGTAGAGGTGGTGCTTGCACAGCTGGAGCCTTCTCTTTCTCTACGATCTTAGCCGCGATTGGCGCTGCAGCGGCTGGTTGAGGGGTTGTTTCTGTTTTCTTCGGAGGTACATCCTCCGTATGCGACAGTGCAGGAGTTTTGATTTTCGGAGGTTCCTCTTTTTTCGGTTCCTGTACGGGAAAGCCGTGTTGCACAACCTGATCCGGTGCCGCTACGGTGACTACAGCTGCAGGTGGTTGTTGCAGCTCGTCTTGCTGTATTTCCTCCGTGTCTGATTGAACCTGTGGTCGTGTGTTAGATTCTTCTTTCTGTAGTGCGTCTACTATTGGCTGCACAAGTGGCGCAGCCTGTGTCATTGACAGCTCGTCCCGCGGTGTGCTGGTCCTGCTCTCTTGTTTCGGCAGCGTGGTAGAAACGACCTGCGGTTGCACTACAGGGACGGCGACCGGTCGCGGCGGCGCGGAAACTGTAGCTGCAACTGCTGGCGGAGAAACCGTAGCAGCCTCCACTTTAACTTCCGGCGCTTTTGGCTCCCCAGTCGGCGGAGTTATTTCTTCTTCCGCCAAAACGGATATGCTGGCTGCGCTGTCCGACTTCTCCAGGCCGTGCGCTAACACCTGCAGTGCGGTTTTCACTTTCTCTTGCACTTCTTCCGGCGCAAAGTTGACCAACGTCATTTGCCGACTGTAAAATCCTTGCTTCAAGTTATTTTGCACCTGCGCCAGCATTTTGCTAACCCCCTGGATCCCAACCCTTTCCCGCAAAGCATACAAGTCCTGGTGCCGGTCCAGCAAGGCTTTTACGTCGTGCGCCGCGTGCTTCTGCGGACCCGCGTCGCCACCTGCGATCGTCGTCGCCTTGCTGCTCACCGGGGACGCAGCAAGACTGGCGATACTCGCGATGGACGCTTTGCTGCCCTGTTTTGACGGCGGCGGGGGCAGTTTGGTGAAGTAGGGCCCCCGCTTCGTCCCCCGCACGCTGTGACGCAGTTTTCCCCACAGCTCCTCCCGTTTTGGTATTTTCAGCGGTGGTTTCGCCGCTATGACCTCCGGGTCCTCCTCCAAGTTGCTGGATTGTCTATGGCGCTTCCGCGTCTCCACATGCGTTTTTCTGCTTTTCAGCAAATGCATTTTGTCGTGCTTCTCCAACTGCATTGCCTTAGCCCCCTCGTCGTCACTGGCGTGCGTGTCCTCGTCGTACTTCAAAAGTCCGACGCGATTGGCCAGCGCGGACGGACAAAACCGATAGCTGTCACCGCGCCGGTGCAGCCGCCGCAGCAGATCTTCGTTTTCGAACACTAGATCGCTATGCGCCTTTTGCAAGTGCTCGAGATAGCTGGCGACTAATGGCTGCACCTCCGGGTCCCGTAACTGCTGTACGGACGACAACGCTGCAATCGTTTCCCGCGACAAGTTCTGTACCACGGACTGCCGCGCGGAGCTGCTCTTTGCTTTCGCGACCGCATCCAGTGCGACGCTCGCCCGTGGGTGCAGAAGAACCGTGGTCCGGCGAGTTGAAGTGGTGCCATTATTTTCATCACCCACGAGAAAGTCCGGCTGTGACACGTCCGCGTAGTCGTCCAAGAACTGCAAGTAGCCCGCGACAAACACCGCGACTTCGGCGCTTTGCTGCTTCACCCGGTCTTCCTCCTCGGGTGAGTGGAACTGCTGCTTGTCGAGGTGCGGACGCTGCAGGTTTAAGACCCCGTCGAGGTACTTTTCCGTCGCCCGCATGGTGCGTGGATCGGCACCTAGAAACTTCTAAATCGTCGAAACCAGGGATGGCACAGGACAGCGCGACGTGGTACTATTTCACAACTGACCCGCCGCATGGGCGAGTGCGATCAATTACATACTGGTAAAAGGGGGTACTTGCCGACTAGCCCGGCAGAAAATGGTTTACCAGAATGAGGGCAGATCAAGATCTTGGGGAAGAATAATACAGCAAAATTCAAATAGATGAATCTACTGCGCAAGTAAAAACGAGATCAGTCTAAAGGGTAGAAGTGGTATTTACGCAGTGCAAGTGTTGTCCTGAGCAGGTAAGATACTTAGGGGTGCTAAAGCGAATACGCAGTCCGACAACCGGCCATGAAAACACTTTAAGTTTGTACGAGTTCGCGAGTTTTGCACCAGAACGAACGTATGTCCGACTTCCAGACTCATACTGCACGAAGAACCGAGGAAAATGAGGCTTCTGCTTTCCTTGGCGAAAATTGCACGACCGAGAGGAACGATTGCGTTGTAAAAAACTACGTATTGGTACCGATCCACCATGAAAAACGTTGTCAACAGGCACAACCGATCCATCTTTCATTTTGTCATGAGATTGGCTGTCTCACTTTCAGGCAGAACGAGCACGAGGACAAACACCAAATAAAAGCACGACTCGAACAAGCATCGCAGTATTTGCAGGACCGCGACGAGAAGTGCGTCGTCCGCTTGGTTGCGTTGTTTCATCAGGTTGTGTACATAGCATCTTTTTTTTCGCGCAATTTGTAGGGAGCCCACGAGGACGAACTTCGCAGGTTCATAGGTACAGGTCCGAATGACATAATCATACAAAGCTCTTGCGTGAAACTCGTAGTACACATTGATGTTGACAAACTTTCATTTATAGTGAAACACTTTCAAGGAGTACAAAGACGATTTTTGTCAAGCTAACTATAGAGCCGAAAATCCGCCTCCGCATCTTACAAGAGCGCAAACCCGAACAGCCCCGCGGCGCCCGCCAACGCCGCAAAACCGATCGCGTGCACCGAGCCCGCCGCCGCCGAAGTGGTAGTGGGGCAGCTGCTCTGGTCCGGCAACGCGGTAATCCCCGAGGCGACATTGTTCCCGTTCGCATCGTAGCAGGGGCACCACTTGTGGTACAGAAAACTCCCCGTCGGCATGTTCGCGGTCGGCCGCGTCGTCCCGACGTCCAGCTGCACCAGGTTGCAGGTGTCACTGCAGGTGCTGTAAAGCGATCTGCATTTCGCCAGCGTGACCGCGATTTCGGTGCCACTCGCGTCCTTGTCCGGGCCGAAGCAGCCAAACGTGAACGGCGCCTTGTCCTGCACGTGGTAGTGGTAGACCGACGCCCCGGAGGAGTCTGGGTTAACCCCAAAGTGCCCGCCGCAGGCGTCTAAATCCGTCGGGGTCGCGCCGGTGGACTCGTACTTGCCGTACAGACCGAGCTTTGCGAGGGAAGCGGAGCTCCCGGTCGGAAATTTCTCTTCACCGACCTTGGTCGAGTGCCCCGTGGCCGTGGTGTCGTAGAGGCAGGAGAGCTTTTCGTGGAAGTGGTAGTCAGCGGTGTGCCCGCCGCACTCCCGCAGCAAGGAAATGTAGTTGCCGCTGTCCCATCGGGGCAGGGTCACGCCGCAGTCCTTCGCGACCACCGCCTCCGCGGTGTTGGTGTCGATTCCCCCGGCCACGTACCCCCGCCCGGTAGCGCACCCGAGACCTGCGAAGAGTGACATAATGGTGATGTCTCGAAGTACTTGTTGAGTTGTCAATCGGAAACAGGTATAGAACCGTTTTACCACGCGGAAAAGAACTAACAATCTACCATGCTGAATCAAGACACACCAGTACAGTACCGGAAAGAATGTTGTCTTGCTGAGAGGAAAACCCGGCTTCAAAGGGTCCGTAGATGTTTTCGCCGACGACCAGATTCGTTTTGGACGTGGCAGTGCCCGTGTTGTCCGTGCCCGCGGCGGTCGTCAGGCCTACATCGTTCAAGCAGGACGCGGGGCAGGGCTTCGTCGTACACGCCACAGTGGGGCAGCCGCCAGCACCCATTCCGCCTGCAGCGCCCGTTTTTGGGGGCGGCTGGGCGTACGTCAGGTGCACTGCGCTGAACGCGAGTACGAGCGGCCGCGGCAGGAGGAACATCATGGTCGCACTGTATGTTGCAAAAGGATGGTGACCGACTTCAAGACCCGACGAAAACAAAATCTGCGAAAAAAAATGTTTCTTCAGAGAACAAATAAGGACAGTGGAGCAACAGAAGTACTACTTAGGTGCTTACTTACTCAATCGTAGCGCCGAGAAATAGAGGGAGACGGATCTAAAAGGACAGCGATACTTCGCCAATAAAAACGGGTCTTCTTCTAATCGATCTTCTCATCGGCCCTGTGATTGTTTATTTCAAACGCAGAATAGTACACCGAAGACCTTCCGAGACCACGTAACCCCTAGATATCGGCCACAGAAAAACTACCGAAGTGATGAGGATGGCAAGATATTTGCGCTGCAAAATATTGGAACACGCACGCTCAAGGCTCCTACGCACTTACCGAGGCTTCTGTAACTCGCCAGTAACTAATATCGTCAAGAAAGGCCTACTTACACATGTGAAACGCATCGGATTGACCGGAAACTAGTCTGTTGAGAAACATTTTTTTCCTGCGGATTAACCACAACCCCTTGACGATTTTGCACGCTAAGAGGCTGTTATTGTAGTTTTCTTTTCATGTGCATAGAAGATTCATAGCAAGCACTGATATGCAGACACAGGCTCCACAATTTTACATTGGTCTTTTCTTTTCCACGGCGTTCCTCGTTTCTGTTCCTACTCCTCGCGAAGGCGAAAATGAATCTGCGGACACAACTACAGCAACTGCAACAGCAGAACGGTGCCGAAAAAGAAGCTGAGCACCAGACTTGCCATTTTCTCCGTCGCGAAGGCGTCCGACGACGCCGCTGTAACTCCTGCCGCCGACTGCATGACCCCGGTTGCCTTCATGTGTTTGCAGTAGGGCACACCAGGAAACCCAGGCTTGCCGTTGGTGTCCACATTTAGCACATAAACGTACATACCATTCGGGAACTCGGGCGTTTTTGTCCAGCGCCCGCCGCACTCGTCCACTCTCCCGGTATTTGTGTCTGTCGTTGCATCACAAGCCCAGTTACTGGCCACCGCACGCTGCGCGTCCGTGGTGCACGCCAAACCGCTGACCGTACACTTATACCCGGTGTCGATCCGAACAATAATGGATGACACGTCGTTTCCGTCAGTATACCCATAGGGCCCGTAGATCGGGAACCCGTCAAACGCCCAGCCGTAAATCTTCGAGTGCGGAATAGAACCGCCGGTCAACGTCCCGGATTCGCCGTGTAAGCAGGGGGAAAATCCGTGATAGTGGTACCGGTTATTCGCCGGGTGGCCCCCGCACGTATCTAACGTCTCGTCGTACGGCGCCAGCGTTCCGACTCCGGTATAGGGGCTGAAGATCACGACGCCGTCCACCGCCCAACCCACCATGTTCGTGATTATCTCCCGCGACTTTGTCGAGGGCTGTTTCGAGAACACTTGCGTGTAGCTACTGGACGTCGTGCCAATCATCGGCGGGGTGTTATGTGACCCCGCGGCGGAACAGTAGTCCTCCATGTCCTTGGCGGCAATCCCCTGCGCCGCTAACGTGTAGTCAGTTGCTCCGGTTGTGAACGTGACCCCGGTATAAGATTTCGCCTCCGCCGTTTGGCTCGCGCCGGCGCCGCTGGTGCAAAAGGTTGCCGCGATTGGCTGGTTCGTGCCGACGTTGGTGGTCCACCAGGAACCGTAGTAATTCGCCGTGCTGTTGTTCAGCACACCGGAGTTGTGGGTCGTGAAACCGGACAGGGAAGCGACAACCTGCGCATCGGTAATGGCGTAGTCGGCGCAGAACCCCATCGGCGGCGCGGTGCAGTTCGCGTAGTCGCCCCACATGGTCACGTGCGCATTCTGGGAGCTGGCGCCACCCGCTTTGCCTCCGGGTTTTGGCGGCGGCTGGGCGTAGGCTGGCGGGGTGAGGACGGCAATGAGAAGAACGGCGATCCGAGACATCTTGTGGGTATAGACTTTAGGTTTTGCAAACGAGGTGAAGGTATCTACTTTTCTTCGCTTGGGGTACTTCGACGGGTGGGGTTGGGCTGTGCATTATATTTGACGAAACTAGTTCAAAACCAAAACGATCAACGTGCTAAGGCAATGCACCCTTTAGTACTGTCTGCCCGAACAACCAGTTCTCAACACATCTGTCTCGACCCAAATCCAGTATTTTCCGCACTCAGGGAGTCGAAAGACCACAGAGTTGAACAGGCACGGAGATTGAAGAAAACATCGCAGGAGCCGTTTCGGTCAGCGCGTTTTTCCGAATCCTGAACCTCACGTATTTGTTTTCGTCTGATTGAATCAAGCTAGATCAAGTCTGTTCCCGTAAAGTCATTAGTAGTAGAATAATGGATGATCTACCGCGGCTGCACATGCCATTTCCTGACATGGGCCCGCGGTAGCAGATGACGCCTTCATTTTTGAGATTGTACACGGACTGCTCCTTTTCCTATAGGTAAAATTATCAGCATTTTCTAAATCTGTTCGTAGCAGCGGGATGCCGCTGGAAGTCTTGCAGCAGGTTTTGCACTCCGGTCAGGCCCTGGTTTTTCTGCAACCAGGCGCGGAAGAAAGTCCACTGAAACGCTCCATAGCTGGCGAGTGCGTGGATGGCGAGCTTTTCGCTCCACTGGTCCCAGTTCTTTTCCATCCACTTCCCGTCTTCCTGTAGATCAGCGCGCTCGAACTCTAGCATCACGCTCTGCGGAAACGAGCCCGCCATCATCATCTGCATGCCCTTCTGCTCGTACGGATTCATGATTCTTGGGTTTGTGCTTATTAGAGTAGAAGTTTCTAACTAAGTATTTCTGTAGTTACAGCGGTGTTGAAACGAAGAGGAGAGCTTCTGAAAGTCTGCTTTTGGAAAACTGGTATGTCATTGATTATTCTGGGTGGGCTTTGCATACTTGGTTCTCGACGTCCTGATGCAGTGATCATTGCTTCCGATCTTCGCTGTGTTTTTCTAAGTGACTGCATGTTGAGCATTTCGCTTTCGATTTGGCATTTTAGAACATGCTGACTCGGATCTGATTCCTGCGAGAAGCGCAAGGGCAGACGGTTTTCGTTTTGAGAGGATTCTTCTTCTGAGCGGATTCTTCTTTATTTTTGCATCTCCTGACCTGAATACTACTGCGATTTGCTTCACTAAAGGTAGCAGTTTCGTTCGACTTTCTCCGGCGTTTCCTTGTCCCCACCCAACAATCCCTGCAGCGCGTGCCGAAACAACTTGGCGCTCCACTGAAACGTTTTTGCGTTCCACGCGTGCATTTCGCCTGCTATTCTGTCGAAGTCGGAGCTTCCTAGTTTCCGCACCAAATCTGGAACAGACTCGAAGTGCGTGACGTGAGGCCACTTCTGGAAGTCCGTTTGCCCCCACCAAAAGGCGATATCCTCAAACGGCGTCTCTTCGTCCCACCACAGAGTTTGTTCAGGAATGTCTCTCCTTTTTCTCCTTTCCTCCCTCCGTTTTTTCGCGATACGCTTCGCGATTATCTGCGTTTCCTCCCGGTTCGGCAGGAAGAACCGCGTCGCCGGCGCGTCCTGATCAGCAAAGTCGCTACCGTCTTGATGTGCCTTCTCATCCCCGTTATTGTCACCTGCGATATAAGAGTATGTTTCCTCCAGTTTTTCTTCCATAATCGTCGCATTGTCGAAGAAATTTTCCGGCCAGCTGATTCCGTCCTCGGGATACTGTACTTTTTCTTCGTGGCACCGAATGTCCGCAAAATCTTGACCCGCACCCGTGCACGGGTCACCGGTGATCACGAGCGCAGGAGTACGACGGGGTGTTGCAGAGACTGCTGCTGCTCCCCGCTTGCCTTCTCCAGCACTCTCAAGGCTACTATCTATCCTTGAATGTTCCGCTAGCCTCTCACGCTTCGCCAAGAACCTCCCGGGTACTTCCGCGAAGTGCAGCTTCCGGGCCTGCCACCAGCCGTAGTCCGTGTTCTGTAGCATCTTCCAGATGATGCTCGTCGCGTACTGCGTCGACGGCGCGAACAAAGGCACGCCGATGCTGTAGAGCTCGTTGAAGAAGCACATGCCGAGGTCCCAGGGGAAGTACACCGCCGCGCGGAACCGGCGCAGGGCGGAGTACCCGATCACCGAGGGGTAGCCGTCGATGTACTCGAACCCACGGTCTTCCAAGCTAGGAACCCCGAGGAAAACGAAGCTCATTCTTTTCTTCGATTGATTCTCAACGAGTTGCTCCTTCTTAGCCACGGACTCGGTTAGCACGAGCAGCGTCTGCGCGCCCTCCCGGGCCCAGCCCGCAAGCCGGCCGACGAACACGCGCGGCGCGTTCCGATCCGGGTCGTAAAACGGAGCGCCTGGTAAAGGATTTTCAGAAGCAAGAGAAGAAACTGGACCTAACTCTGTCGGCGCGATCCCTGCGGTTGCGTAAACTGCATGTGGCCGGATGCAATACGGCGGCTCGCCCACCTGAATCTCGAACTGCTTGTGCATGAACGCACTGTAGGCTATGAACGCGGACCGGCTCGGGTTTTTCTGCATCTCCTTGAATTGCGCAAGCATCAACGGCTTGTACTGCTCCGGCGCGGCGCCAGCAAGCGGAAACGCCTGGTACACTAGCATGGGCGTGTCGACAAACGTCCGCAACAAGGAACAAACCGGCAGCGGCTGGCAGCAGAGCAGTAATACCGCATCAGCAAACGCCTGGTCCTCGACGAAACTCTGCTCCAGAACGTCGGTAACTTCCTGCAGGTCCCAGGAGGGCTTGTACATGTTCGCGACGAAAATGGAAATCACTTCTTCCAGCAGGATATTCCGGCGGCAAAACCCAAACTCCGTGCACACCACTTCCGGATAGGGGTACAGAGTACCGTACACGTGGAAAGTTGGCTGCGTGAGGGTCGTGGCTTCTCCTTGCGGCGCACTATCAGCTGCTCCGTGTAATTCTTGCTGCCGAAAAAGCCACTGCAGCATGCTCGTAGGTTCCATGTTCGAGCCGAAGTGGGAACCGATAGTGATGATGGTTGCAGCGGAAGTTGTACCGGCACGATCCAGGGCTGACGTTGAGAGAAGTAGAGTATCCTCTGAAAAGCGATCGTGGTCAGGAACCGGCACAAAACTTGGGCGGACCGGGTCGTAGAAATTTTCGCGCGTAGTTGGGATGCTGTTGACAGCAGGCGAGGCGCCATCTGCCACAACGGCTCCACCGAGTTCTTGTTCACGCCGATGCCTCCCCGGAAACTGCTGCAAAACTTCGCGAATTCCGACGGGGAAGCGGCTTGCTTCCCCAAAATCGAGGAACCCCCAATACACGTCGGTGTAGTTGTACAGCATTTGGTATAAGAGGCTTTGCGTGATATCATTGGAACTCACTCTCCTTCCGCAGGTCCCGCTGTGTACTAATACTAGCTGCTCCACGCCGGGGATAGACTCGCTCCCACTGTGCACATCCTTCCAGAATTTGCAAACCAAGTGCACAGCGTAGAGATACCCGTGATAGCACCAGCCGTCCTGAAAGCTGTTCCAGTGGTCGCTGCTGCTGCTGCGATAGAGGTGGGTGAAGTCCGTGACCCGCTGCTGCATACTGCGGATGTCCTCCTCGGTCCGGAACGGCCAGACTTGAAAGATCTCCCGCAGAATCGCGAACAGTGGGTCGAGCTTGGTTGTTGATGCAGCAGTTGTTGTACTATCTGCTGTTCTTGTATCAACGCCGACTGCTTCTGCTTGTGCTTCCCCACCCGCGTCCCCCTCCGCTGCTTTCCCCGCGAGCAAGAGGTTGTCCCAGAGCGGAACCGCATCGGTGTGGAACCGACAGTCAAGTACATCTTGCAGGTCATACGCTACTGCGAGATCGAGAACAGTAGTGGTGAAACAGATAAGCAAAAAAGCAAAATGAACTGGCACGGATGTTGTTGATCTCGTCGTGTTTCTTCTATCAGCGAAAGACCTGAAGATCATCTTCACCGTCCTTCGTGTTAGGGTGCCGTGCTTGTTAGTAGACCTTTCTGAAAACAAGCAAAAAAGTGTGACTTCCTGGTCTTTAAACTTTTTGAAACAGCGGCCTCGCCAAGACCTTCGAGAATCATATTTCGTCATACCGGGAACTGCGAGATCGAAGAGGCGCCGGAATCCAGCGTAGGAAAAGCACTTCTTCGCCTGGCTTATTATCTCTATCTATGCGTACGAGACACAGGCGTGCAAAATGGATGTTCATTTTCAACGAAATCTGAATTCTCGGGGGCTGTGCCATCTAACAGTGAAGTCGCTTTTGATATGAACCGTCCCAGCATATCTTTTTCTTTTCTGCCTACTACACCATCGTTGTCAAACCCCACTTCACGTGCTCCTGGACCATGCGCAGTTTCGATCCGTGCAGCGTGAATCGCGACCATAGCACTGTTTGCACTACTGCTATCGCTAACTGGATGTACAAAATGTTTTGTGTCGCTGCATCCTCCTGCCGCTCCCCGGAGGTTCTTCCAGTATCAGGAGAAGAACTAGTGCTGCTTTTTGGATGGTTTAAACTTTCCATCCAATAGGCCCCGAGTATCGGTCCGACGGAGTTCAGCGGTTTGACACACGCGGCAAGGGCGGAGAAGAAGTAGCCGGCCGGCGGCAGTTGCGTGTGTTTATCCACGGCGTACTCGTCGATTAGATTGTTCAAGAGGATGTTGCTATACCCAAGTTGCAGCAGTACGCACGCTTCATGCACCACGATCAGAACCAGTATTGTCCACAGATGGTAGACCGGTTTTGTTGTTGTGCTAGTTCCAGCTCCACCCGGAGGAGAAATTATGGCGCCGTCAAACGCAAGAAGAGACGATCCCTCTTCCCATAACGCAAATCTGAAGAGTAGGAACACGCCGAGCTTCAGGTAGAACGTTTGTAATACGATCCTATACACGCCGACTTTCGCAGCGACCCAGGTGAAAACGAAGCGCAGCCCCCCAGCCGCGCCGCCGATCAGACCGTAGGCCGCGAGAATCTGCACTTTCGAATGCGGGTAGAGCCGGTGCAGCCCCATCAGGAGGAACTGCGAAGAAAACACGCTCTGCATCTCCACTAGTGCGTAGACTGCGACGAAAAGCCAGAAGTTTAAGCTCAGAGATTGAACGAACTCGCCAGCGGACGGCAGATTCGCGCTGTTTTCTTGCGCATTTGTGGTTTCTGGAGGTCCTCGTTGTGACAGGGCCGCTAATGGAAGGGACTGTTCCTCCAGAACATCCACAGGAACCCCGTCGTGGGTAGAAGTACTATATTTTTCGTCTGCATGAAGATTTTTCTCTGCTGCTGATGCGGATGCCCTTGATGCCCGGTCTATGCTTGCTATGTTTCCAATTATTCTGCCGTTGTTCGCCTGCGTCCTCCCGACCATCTCCGGCTCGAGTCCGAGCTCCTTCTCCACTGCCGTATTGATCCGGATATCCTGAGAAAAAATGTCCCCACACCAGAGTCGGGATGGGAAATCTGCTAGACAAATCAGCCCACCTCGGTTGTTTCGCATGACAAGTTTGTCCTCGTAGTGTATTCCTGTTTAGCTAGTTCCGAAGCATCACAGATCTAGCATATCATGCTGATTCTAGCATCACAAATTCCAAAACCCGACTAAAAAATGGCTGTCATGGGGCTCCACATGAGAAACTTTTTTGGCATGCAGATTTGCATGACAGCTCTGGGGTGGGGACGTTTTTACTCAGAATACCGGAGCGCCGAAAATCTTCCGTTGGACGTCGTTGGCGACGGGTCGAGAAAGGTTTCGAGCTCTTGCTCGTCCTCCAGTTCACCCGTGCGAACCAACTCCGAGGCTCTCCGCAGCGGCAGCTCGACCTCTTTGGTGTGCAGCCGGCTGGTATGAATTGCAAAAGTGTCTGAGTCTGGAAGATTGCAACTTGTCATGGTAAGTCTGAAGCTGCATGCAAAAATCTGTGTTGCATGAGTGCCAAAAGCTGTACACTTTTGACCCAGTTGGAAGGGAGTTTCTCATGCAGGATAGGCATGGCAGAGACCTCGCAGAGTCTGTCATGCTAAGGCCCGCATTCCAGATCTCATGGGTCATGGAAAATCTGCATGACAAGTCTACACTTTTCCAGACCCAGACACTTTTGCATTTGATAGCTGGGGCTTCCGGGCTGACTCCGCGACTCCCGGGCGTGCTGCTCTAGTCTGTTGGCGACAAACGCGGTGAGCCACACGCAGAACCCGACGAGCATGATAAAGTAGAGTTGAAAGGAACTGGAGATGCGCGAGATGACGTGCTCCGTCTGCGAGGAGGATGTAGTGCCGGGGACAGAAGTGGTTGCGCCAGTAGTTGTTGTACTAGCTCTAGAAGTTGTTGTATTCCCGTGCTGGTACAGCAACACGCCGACGCTGACAAACACGAATTCCGTGACACCGAAGATGCTGTTCCATCGCTGCAAACTCAAGCGTTCCGGCTCGGACTGCGCAATCTCATTGCTCACAATGTTGCGCGCAATAATGGCGAAGGAGGCGCACCCATCGTAGATAAAGAGCGTTACCAAGTACAGCAGAACGGCCGACCACAGAGTTTCTGTAGCTGCACCAGAGGAAGTCGCCAGCATCGTTTCCCCGCCCGCCATGCTCCCGAGGGACGGAAGCGGTTGTGCAGTGGTTGCGGCGGCAGTCGTTGCTGGTGTTGCAGCCTCGTTGGAGATCCTCTCCGGTGCAGCAGCTTCTTGCAGCCGCCTTGCTGGTGGTGCCCCTTCGCGAGTAGATGGACTAGTACCTGATGTCGCGCCAGTCGAGCTAGCACCGGAACTCCCTGTAGCTTCTTCAGTAGTACTACCAGCACTGCTCCCATGATGCCTCGCCCGCCACGGTGCGTACTCCGCACGCTCGCCCCGGACCAGCTTCGCCAAGATCGCCCCCTCTTCTTGCACTTCCACATCTACCACATCGTGGGCGACGAAATACCCGAACACCGACGTGTATGCATTGCAAGAATTTTTGGGTCTGGAAACCTGTGATGCAAGAAAGGGAGCAGTGACCACACCGTAATGCGCTGCCAAGCATGACAAGTTTTTCGGTGCTTCTGAGTTGCGTACTTCGCATGAGAAGGTGCGTTTTTGCATGACCAGCAAGAGGGGCTCTTCGCGGCCACGCAATACAGAGCTCAGAGTCATGCCAGACTAGCATGACAAATCTCGCAATCTCCCAGACCCAGACATATTTGCATTTGATAACGTCGCCAGCCCGCTGTCGGACACCAACAGAAAGGGCAAAGCGCTGGCGATGACCCACACGATGGACAGTAATTTTAAATACGCTATGCGCCGCAACTTAAACTTGGCCATGATGAAATCAGAAAAAACCCCCGCGAAAACGTCATTCAATGTGTTCCAGACCGAATAGAAAACGTGGACCCGTGCCACGTCTCCCGTGCTCAACCCGTGCACGTTCAGAAACGCGTCCATGTGCAAATTGCTGAACAGCAGGGTGGGCACTGTCGCGAGGGTTGTGAAGGCGGAGTAGTACAGCACAACTAGCGGGCTGTCGTCGGGCTGGAAGCAGTACGTGCGGACAAACCGAAAGACCCGCGGGAATAGGGGCTCGTTCGTAGCATAGCCGCTGCGAAGCTTGTCCTCGCGAGAAAAGCAAAGCGAAAGCATGCGGGTCGGATTTATTATATTTGGCCGTCGAACGGCACCGTTTTGGGTAACTACTCGTAACGAGCCACCTTGTTTCCAGTGTACTAGTAAAAATGCACAGAGTGCGGCAAGCTGAAACGTAAAGAATTAAAACATGTTTTAGCAGATAGTATCCAAGACCGCACACCAAATTTATAACGACCCCTGATGCACGAGCTATCGAAGAGAGACGAACAGCTTTGAGTGGCTCTTTTCAGAATGCAATGATGGCTTGCACAGCAAGCGCTCAGGTCTTTTTCACTGTATACTTCACTTCGCGTAAACACCACAAGCCATTCAGCGTCACTACTTTACAATTTTCAGTTCTATCTACGGTCGTAATCCATTCATCTTCCTCATGCGCCCAAATGCTTGCCGTGGAATCGAAAATGGTTTTCCATGAAAGTGGACACAAACCAGTAGCTGTGGTCGTACCCCTCCCGCATGTTGCACTCGAACTCCTGTCCCGCCGCCTTGCACGCTTCCACGAACTTCTCTGGTTGGAGTTGCTTGGATTCCGAGTAAAAATCGTCCCCGGTTCCCTGGTCCACGAGCAGGCACTTCGGATGCTTCTTCCCGGCCTGCAACAACGCGCAGGCGTCGTAGTCCGCACCTTCCTTCGTTGGGTCGTTCAGGTAGCCGTTGAACGCCTTCTGGCCCCAGTTCGTGTCCAGCGGGTTCACGATGGGACAGAACGCGGAAACGGACGTGTACCTGAGTGTAGTTTTGCTTGTTTTTCGCTTTTGCGACGTATCTGGTTCCTTATCCTTGCTTCATCAAAATAAATCTAGAATCATTAAAAACGAGACGGGACCATGGCACGATGATGAAAAAAAAAAGAAATCAGTACGTCGTCGGATTTTTGAGTCCTATTGTGAGCGCGCCGTGTCCGCCCATGCTGTGCCCGGTGATGGAAATTTTATCTGGGAGGTACCACTCGGGAAAAGATTCGGCCATCAAACTTGGAAGCTCTTTCACCACGTAGTCGTACCTGGAGTGATGTAGTTGCATGATTGGCATGAGCATTTTGTCTGAAAATTTCGTTTTTTTTCGTTGCACATATCAAATCGCGTCAGGACCACATAAGCGAACACCGGTTTCCCCGACGGAGGCGGACGGCAGTAGGTACTCTACTTTCAGCAAGAAACAAAAATAACACACACTACATTTTGTAGTTCGCGCTCCAGGGTTCCTTAGTTGCGTTGAGATAAAACCCGGCGCCGGTGCCAAAGTCGTAGCTGTCGTTTTCTCCCGGAATCTCCGGATGGCCCCGCGGACTGGTGTATCAAATGTAAAAATGTCTGGGTCTGGAAACTTGTGATGCAAGTCAGGGAAAAATGCGCATACTGTAATGCACTGCCAAGCATGACAAGGCTTTCCGTGGTTCAGTGTTGCGTACTCCGCATGAGAAACTGCGTTTTTGCATGACAGGCAAGAGAAGCCCTTTGCGGCCACGCAATACAGAGCGCAGAGTCATGCCGGACTAGCATGACAAATCCCGCATTCTTCCAGACCCAGACATTTTTACATTTGATATCGTGTCTGGCATTACGACCGCGATTCCAAGCTCCGAAGCCCACTTGAATGCGATACTGTAACTATGCGTGGGAAAAGGTCGCTGAGTCAAAGCTGCACGGCAAGTTTCGCGGTTCGTAAACCTCATACCTACTCGATAGGAAATAAAGTCTTCTGGTAGAAGACGCAGACGATCATTACGTAGGATAATTGCGTGTCTGACGACTCAACTTTTAGTAAGTACATCCGAAAAGATACGGAAACACCTTCAACAGCTGCGTGCAGCTTGACTCATCGAAACTTCTCCTCCATAACCTTTGTTGGAAACGTTTTCATCCGTGCACGTGAGGCCGGACAGATAGTACAGTGTTGGTGTTTTGGCCCCCTTCGACGCGGTGTCCGGAATGAAGACCGCAAACTTCATCTGCAGGTTCCCCAGCACGCCCGACGTATGCTCGAACCGCCGCAAGGCACCACCGTAGGCTCGAACCGAGCTCAGTTGTTTTAGCTTGCTCGGGACCGACATTTTTTGCGTGCTTTCTTGGAAAGTAAGTAAGTTCTACAATTTGAAAAGACCACACAGTGCGGAGCGAAAACGTGAAGAAAAATATTTGTTCGTAACTTCGCGATTGAGAGCTTTGCTTTGGTTCCAGGCACCGGAGATACTTACTACAGCCGCGGACTGGGAAAAAGAAAAGCGTCGGCCTGAACTGCGATCGTTTCGCGAAAGAAGACCTGTACAAAAAATGATCGGAAAAGGCATAAAGATCTCCAACGGGCACACGAACCGTATTCAGCTGCGCAGTCAGATCAGAAAATAAGTATTTCACGATCTAAGACCAGCGATATCATAGGAGCTAAAGCCATTTCAAAAGATTTGCACGCTGCGCGGCTTTTCACATGGAACTTGTGCAACAGAACCTGCCCCGAGAACGGACCAGGAATTGTCCCGGTGGCCGATTCAGAAAAAAGGCTCCGAAACCCGCGCGCGGCGCCGGAATCGAAGTAGTAGGGCGGTGCGCAAATTTGCAAGGAACCTGGCCGCCGGCCGACAGCGCGCGCCATTTTCTATAGTTGCGGCACTCCGAACGGGTGCAGAGGAGCCGACCGTATGCAGAAGCCTCCGCAGCGGCCTGCGAGTGGGCCGATTGCAAGCCTGAAGTACAAGAGGCGGCATCGGCCCGAAACCACGGGGCGGCGGCCCCGGTGCGGGCCCGAAGGCGGTCGCGGATCGCGGGCGAGAAGCCAGAGCCGGACCGGGCGGCGGCAGCGGGCGTGGTCTCTGTCTCCACAATTCAGGTGCGGGGCCCCGACTGCCGCTGCGCAGCCGATTCCGCGCTTGTTCCATCATGCCTGGGTGGCTTACCTTGGAGGAGGACGCTGCTGGTTACCTCCTCCAACTAGGGGGAGAGGGGGTGAAGAACCCCTGAAAAATCGCACAGATTTAAGAGCTCTCCGCTTTCCGGAATTTCAAGAAATGGGACCTTCCTGGGTTCCTAGAAGAGAGTGGCGCAATGATCCACATTAAATATCATAGAAGGGATACAATGGACTCCATATCCAAAGACACCAGCTCACCATGCCCCCAGCTTTAGTGTTTTGCTGGCATCCTAAAAAATTTTAGAAACTTGCTTCTTGTAAATTTCATCGGAGAAATGGATCTACAGGAGTAATATTATCCACATTTTGCATATTCGCTGACATTGACTTCATTTAATTACAGGAATCATTTCCCACAGAAGAATTTTTGAAAAATTCAGAAAAACTGCTGTAGGTTCGCGCCAGAACCAGGAAAATTCTCGTGGAATTCTTGCGCGCCCGGCGGAGAATTCCGCGAAATTTTTTGTGGCGAGAGTCTGACGCCGCCACCACTTTTGACGCCATACCGTCGTAGCTGGGCATCCAGCTTTGACGGTATGGCTGAAAATGTGACATGGGGCAAAAATGTGACATGTACACACGTCACATTTTTACCACGAGGGTATGGCCCAAGATGTGCCATCTGCCCACTTTTTGTGACATTTCGCGAACCACGAGGGTACGGTCCAAAATGTGACGCCGAGGCTGTTTTTTATAAAAAAGAAGAAGGCTTTTGCTGGTCCGGGCTTCGATACAGCTCCAAACTTTTGGAGTTGTATCAAAATCCGGACCACCAAAAGAGCCACACGCTGTTTTCCCAAAAGAGCCACTGGCTCTCACAGTACTGTGAGAGCCAATGGTTCCTTTGGGGAAACAATGCCTGGCTCTTTTAGGCCGCGGGTTCGCGCCAGAACCAGGAAAATTCTCGTGGAATTCTTGCGCGCCCGGCGCAGAATTCCGCGAAATTTTTTGTGGCGAGATTCTGACGCCGCCACCACTTTTGACGCCATACCGTCGTAGCTGGACATCCAGCTTTGACGGTATGGTTGAAAATGTGACATGGG